GCTAAGATTCAAATCATTGGGCTTTGCCGCGTTCCAAACTGACACGATCACTCTGCGGCTCCAGATGGGAGGGCAATCGACGGTTCCTAGGTCATGGAGTCAAACGGTCACCAGCGAAATCCCGCAACTCCCGCCTTTGCCAACGGAATTTCGCCGAGGAAAATAGTGTAGTTCGATTCGCGTAGCCGCTGAGGTGAAATGAGAGGACAAGGAACAGCGTAAACTCGGAAGAAATTCTTTCCCCTTCCCTGCCCGGCATAATCACGTGCCACGCGGACGAATTTCAACCAGCCACCTAAGTGGACTCTCGAATCTCCCTGTCCTGGACACAATTTGAGCCTGACCGGACCAACCATTCGCAGCCGCCGTCACTGTTCGTCGAGACCCAACGCAGCCGTTAACCTGTAGACCAATGGGAACTGGCTAGGGTTGCCATGGCGAAACACGCAAAAGGTCAGAACCAACGGCTGCGATCTGAGTTACCAAAAGCGTTTCAGATAATCCAGTGATTCTGGACGGTAGATTCGAAGAGGCTTGTTGTGAGAGAAGGAGAGGAGGGGCAGTTGTGTGTGATCCCTTCGCCTGATTCCAACGTGACCGTCGTCTATCGCCTCATTCTCGCCTGAGCCTCGGATTTCACAACCGTTTCGGCTCCTGCTCTCATTTTTCTCTCACGCTGAGCTTCTTCTGCTCGTTTTCCTCGAGCTGCCGCGTTTGCGGAAACCGATAGCGAAGCTTATTTTCAAAACAGGCTGGAGGCATTCTGCTTCATGCCTGGCTTCATTGTACTAGAAGCTTCGTATATGGGAAGAGAATAGTCGGGCGTGGGCGTCTTGAAGCCAGGAGACTCTGGCAATTTCTGCGATGGAAGAACAAGTGCGGAGATGGCGATAATAAAGAACGAGGTAATTTTGAATGCGTGTGCTCATTTTATCACGTATCCAAGTGTTATTTAGTGGTGTAATATGCGTTTGTTTCAGCAAACGCGAGATTGTTCAATGGCGCGTCTGACGTGACGTCTGCATGCTGGTTTGTACGTCGCAGGCTTGTTGCGAAGGCGACATGTCACTTAAACCACCAACGCCATCTGGCTGTCCGTGCGATTTGGGCAAGTACGTGCAATTTCGGCGAGTACATGCAATATTGGCGAGTGCGTGCGATTTCAGAATGGCTCGCGTCCTTCGTCTAGCAGCTCAGGCATTTCCGAAAGCCACACCCATGCAGACAGTCAAGTTCGCAAATCGATTTCGCGGATGAGTATCCCGTATGTTTCGCGTCTCGTTGTCGCTTTTCCGTTTCGCTTTACAATCTTGAGGAACATCTTCACCGATCGCTTTCGCACATGGTTGTCGCGTTTCAGCTTCCCGTTTCAATTCCGCAATTAGATTCCGAATTTCAATTTCGCGATCTACTTTCGCCATCAATCTCGTAACGCGACCTACTTTTCTTACGCACGCTGTGGCCGCGTCTTTCCCTTTCTCCCACTGCAGCTCTCCGTGCGCCACGTCGTTCCCATCCCCATCGGCGGCTGCCGCGCTGGTGGGTGCCGGAACCACTCTCGCGACCTGCGATTTCGGGCCCACTCTCTCTTCGTCTCCCACCCCAAGCTAAGTCCTCACCTCACGCTCTCACTGCATGTACGCCTGAGCTTGGCGCAACTTTGCCTGGAACACGGACTGCCTTGAACGTGGACAGACTGAAACACAGACTACTTGGAACCTGGATTGACTGAAACACAGACTGCCTGAAATCTGGATTGACTGAAACACAGACTGCCTGAAACCTGGATTGAATGAAACACAGACTGCCTGAAACCTGAATTGACTGAAACACAGACTGCCTGAAACTTAGTTTGACTGAAACACAGACTACCTGAAACCTGGTTTGACTGAAACACAGTGCCTGAAACCTGGATTGACTGAAGCACAGACTGCCTGAAACCTGACTGCCTGATCCCCGAAACCGGCTCGTGTGGTGCTGTGGGCGTGCATCTGTCCTTCATTCGCATCTTCTTTCCGTTGGATTGTTGCCTGCCGCCATGTACTCACTGACTTCTCTCCTCGCTTCCCTGGCAGGTTTGAATGACCGCTGGAACGCCAAGGCCCTTCTGCTGACAAGGCTGGCGGCGTGGGCGCAAGCTGCAGAGGAGCAGAGGAGCAGAGGAGGAGAGGAGCAGAGGAGCAGCAAGGGTCAGGAGCAAGGTGCAGCAGCAAGGGGCATCTGCAACGAGCAGAAGCAAGGGGCAGCAAGCAACCCCCTCAACGCTTCCCATTAAGATAAGCCCACACCCTTGGTAACAAGCTCTTTTTTGAACACCATTGTTCCCTGCACTGTCATTCCCCCATGCACCTTCCCCCTCGCTGTCATGCCAACCAGCCCTCCACGGAGCCTTCCCCCTTGGTGAAGGTACAGGTTTCTTTTCAGGTATAAAGGTTAAGGTTAATGTTCAGGGGGAAGGTAAGGGTTTGGTACTTGGCGCCTGTGGATGGCGCTGCATCATACCATGCCATCCCATGCGCTCACCATCACCCACCCTCTGCATATGCATGCGTTCCGCCCCTTGTGTCCTCCTTAGCTTCTCTTTTTATCCCCCCGCTCCCTCCCCTCTGCACATGCGCGCATTCCGCCCCTTGTGTCCTCCTTAGCTTCCCTTCACTCATTTCCGCTCCCTCCCTTATTCCCTTCCCTCTTCCTCCTCGTCCTCCACCTATCCCTCCCTGACTGTCAGGCTCGCTGCTCCAAGTCCCTACTGAAGTGCAAGGCGTGCGTAGCAGCAAGGCACAGGAGCAAGGGACAGCAAGGCTCGGCAAAGCACCATCAACGCTCTACACAAAGATAAGGCCACACCCTTGATTTCATAACCGCTCCATTGCTGCTTCAGCTGAAGCTTCTATCTGAAGTTTCCAGCCCACATCCCGACATTTGCTGCACTGCCACCACCACCCCATGCGCATTCCTCCTAGCTGTCATGCCAACCACCCCTCCACAGAGCCTTCCCCTTGGTTTAGCATTAGGTTTCTTTTCAGGTAGAGGTTCTGGTTATGGTTCAGGTGAAAGGTTCAGGTTATGGTTCAGGTATGGTACTCAACTCCTGTGGAGGGCGCTGCACCATGCCACGTGTCATGCCATCACATGCTCTCACAATGCAAGCATTCCGCCCCTTGCGTCCTCCATCGCCTCCCCTCACTAATTTCCGTTCCCTTCCCTCTTCCTTCCCCCCTTGTCCTCCCTATACCCCGCCTTGACTGCCAGGCTCTCCTCTCCAAGCCTCTTCTGGAGTCCAAGTCTCAGCGGCAACGCTGGGGAGCAAGGGGCAACAAGGCAACCTCAACGCTCGACACAAAGATAAGCCCACACCCTTAAACTCATACAAGGCAATCCACCCCATGTGTCCTCCATAGATTCCCTTCACTCATTCTCACTCCCTCCCCTCTTCTGCCCCCCCCCGGTCCTCCCCCTATCCCCCCTGACAGTCAGGCACTCTGCTCCAAGCCTGTCCTGGCCTCCGACTCTCAGCAGCAGGCGTGGGAGCAAGGCGCAGCAACGCATCCTCAATGCTCCACTTAGGATAAGCCCTCACCCCTGGTTTCATACCCGCTCCTTTTCTGTTTCACCTCAAGCTCTTCTGTGATCCCACATCCTGGCATTCCCTGCACTGCCATACCCCCCCCATGCGCCTTCCTCCTTGCTGTCATGCCAGCCACCCCTCCACAGAGCTTCCCCCTTTGGTGAGTTCAGGTATTTTTTCAGGTAAAGGTTCAGGTTATGGTTCAGGTGGAAGGTGAAGGTTTGGTACTTGGCTCCTGTGGAGGGAGTGTTGGCACTGCAGCTTGCCCCGTCTCATGCCATCCCATCCTCTCACCATCACCCACTGCGCGTGCACGCATTCCACTACTGTGTCTTCCACAGCTTCCCTTCACTAACTCCCGGTCGCTTTCCTCGCCCCTCCCTTCTACCCTTCACGTGTCCTTCCCCTGCCTGCCAGGCTCTCTGCTTCAACCCTGTCCTCCAGTCCAAGTCTCAACAGCAAAGCGCATGAGAAAGGGTCAGGAGCAAGGTGCGGAATCAAGGTGCGGAATCAAGGCGCAGGAGCAAGGGGCAGCAAAGCAACCCTCTCAACGCTCCGAAAAAAGATAAGCCCACACACTTGGTTACATACCCGCCCACTTTCTGTTACAGCTCGCGCTCTCGTTTGAACACCAATGCTCTCTGCACCATCATCCCGCCATGCGCCATCATCCTCGCTGTCATGCCAACCGCCCCTCCACAGAGCCTTCCCCCCGTTGGTAAAGATCCAGGTTTCGGGTAGAGAGGTTCAGGTTATGGGTCAGATGGAAGGTGAAGGTTTGCTACTTGGCTCCTGTGGAGAGCGCTGCACCATGCCGCATGTCATGCCATCCCATGCTCTCACCATCACCCACTGCACATGTATGCATACTGCCCCGTGCATTCCGCCCTGCACTATGCCCCGTGTCATGTTATCCCATGCTCTCACCATCTCCCTCTGCACATGCATGCATTCTGCCCCATGTGTCCTCCATAGCTCCCTCCCCTCTTCTCTCCACCCGCCCTCCCCCTCTCCCCTCCTGTCTGTCAGGCTCTCTGCTCGAAGCCTGATCTGCTGTTATGGGAAGCAGCAAGGCACACCAGCAAGGCGAAGCAGCAAGGCGCAGCAAGGCACCTTGTACGCGCCACACAAAGATAAGCTCTCTCAGCCCTTGGTTCCTAATCCCCTCAATCTCTCTTTCAGCCGACGCTCTTGTTTCAACTCTCCAGCCCACATCCCAACGTCCCCTGCACTGCCACCTTCCTCCTTGCTGTCACGCTAACCACCCCTCCACAAAGCCTCCCCACCTGGTTAAGGTTAAGGTTTTTTTTCAGGTAGAGGTTGAGGTTATGGTTCAGGTGGAAGGTGAAGATTTGGTACTTGGCTCCTGTGGAGGGCATTGCACCATGCCCCGTGTCATGCCATCCCATGCTCTCACCATCACCCACTGCACATGTATGCATACTGCCCCGTGCATTCCGCCCTGCACTATGCCCCGTGTCATGCCATCCCATGCTCTCACCATCACCCACTGCACATGTATGCATACTGCCCCGTGCATTCCGCCCTGCACTATGCCCCGTGTCATGCCATCCCATGCTCTCACCATCACCCACTGCACATGTATGCATACTGCCCCGTGCATTCCGCCCTGCACTATGCCCCGTGTCATGCCATCCCATGCTCTCACCATCACCCACTGCACATGTATGCATACTGCCCCGTGCATTCCGCCCTGCACTATGCCCCGTGTCATGCCATCCCATGCTCTCACCATCACCCACTGCACATGTATGCATACTGCCCCGTGCATTCCGCCCTGCACTATGCCCCGTGTCATGCCATCCCATGCTCTCACCATCACCCACTGCACATGTATGCATACTGCCCCGTGCATTCCGCCCTGCACTATGCCCCGTGTCATGCCATCCCATGCTCTCACCATCACCCACTGCACATGTATGCATACTGCCCCGTGCATTCCGCCCTGCACTATGCCCCGTGTCATGCCATCCCATGCTCTCACCATCACCCACTGCACATGTATGCATACTGCCCCGTGCATTCCGCCCTGCACTATGCCCCGTGTCATGCCATCCCATGCTCTCACCATCACCCACTGCACATGTATGCATACTGCCCCGTGCATTCCGCCCTGCACTATGCCCCGTGTCATGCCATCCCATGCTCTCACCATCACCCACTGCACATGTATGCATACTGCCCCGTGCATTCCGCCCTGCACTATGCCCCGTGTCATGCCATCCCATGCTCTCACCATCACCCACTGCACATGTATGCATACTGCCCCGTGCATTCCGCCCTGCACTATGCCCCGTGTCATGCCATCCCATGCTCTCACCATCACCCACTGCACATGTATGCATACTGCCCCGTGCATTCCGCCCTGCACTATGCCCCGTGTCATGCCATCCCATGCTCTCACCATCACCCACTGCACATGTATGCATACTGCCCCGTGCATTCCGCCCTGCACTATGCCCCGTGTCATGCCATCCCATGCTCTCACCATCACCCACTGCACATGTATGCATACTGCCCCGTGCATTCCGCCCTGCACTATGCCCCGTGTCATGCCATCCCATGCTCTCACCATCACCCACTGCACATGTATGCATACTGCCCCGTGCATTCCGCCCTGCACTATGCCCCGTGTCATGCCATCCCATGCTCTCACCATCACCCACTGCACATGTATGCATACTGCCCCGTGCATTCCGCCCTGCACTATGCCCCGTGTCATGCCATCCCATGCTCTCACCATCACCCACTGCACATGTATGCATACTGCCCCTTGTGTCCTCCTTAGCTTCCCTCAAATAACTCCCGCTCCCTCCCCACCCGCCCTCCCCCTCTCCCCCCCTGTCTGGCAGGCTCTCTGCTCGAAGCGTGTTCTGCAAAAGTAGGCGCAGCAGCGGGTGTGGGAGAAGGCGCGGCAGCAGGGTGTGGGAGCAAGGCGCAGTAAGGCACCTTCAAAACGCCACACAAAGATAAGCTCACAGCCCTTGGTTTCCAGTCCACTCAGTCTCTCTTTCAGTATAAATTCTCAAGCTCAAATTTCAACGTCCCCTGCACTGCCACCTTCCCCCTTGCGCACCTTCCTCCCTCCTTGCTTCATGCCAACCACCCCTCCACAGAGCCTTCCTCCTTGGTGAAGGTTCGGGTTTTTTTCTGGGTTAAGGTTCAGGTCGGGTTTTGGATCAGTTGCAAGGTGAAGGTTTGGTACTTGGCTCCTGTGGAGGGAGTGTTGTCGCTGCACCATGCCACATCACATGCCATCCCATGCTCTCTCCATGCTCACCACACACACGCCGCCATGCCGTGCTCCAACCGTGTTTCACCCACCCGCCACCCACTCCACCTGAATCTTCGCCATGCACTCACTCACTCCCTTCTCCTCCCGCCCTTGCCTGCTTCCCTGGCAAATGGAGGGTGTAAATGTCACCCTCACCAATGCTCCCTCACGCCCCTCCCCGGTGACCGTGCAGGAATGCGTGGGGATGGGAGGAAGGCAGCACTGCAGCAGACTTGAATCGCTGCCACGACGGAGAGTATTGGGGGTGGGCTTGGCCTCTTCAAGGTAAGCCAGCTCCCTCCTTGGCTTCCTCCCTCCCTCCCTCGAGTTCTCAATCTGCTGCAGCTGTCTCTTTGTTTTTTTCCATTCTTGTTTCTGTCAGCTTGAGTGTCTTATCTGCGTCTGCCAACTCACCAGCTTCTCCTGTCCTTCCTTCTTCTGCTGCCCCGCCTCCCCCCTCTCTTGCCCTCCAGCTACCAGGTCACTCAGCATCAAGGGAAGAGTGCAGCAGAGGAAGCTGAGCAGCAGACGGGCAGCAGCAGCTGTAGCAGAAGCAGCTGCACCAGCAGCAGCAGTTGTGGGGGGTGTGGGGCTAGAGAGGAGGCTAGGCTAGGTCAAGGTGTGGGGAGGTGTGGTAAAAGGTTTGGTAGGGTAGCAGGTGAGGTATGGTGATCTGATTCCCTCTCCCCTCTTTCTCCCCCGTCTCTTCCCTGCAGCCTGAGAGCAAGGGCAGGAGAGCGGAGTCCACCCTCTCACTCACCTCCTCCTCTCTCCCTTCTCCCTTCCCTCCCAGCAGCACCCTGCCTGGACCACAGTGGAGTCCCGCGCTCTGTTAATCCCCCCCCCCCCGCCACTTTCCAGCAGCCTGAGGCACTATGGCGCTCTGCATGGCTGTGGTAAGCACAGGTAAGGAGGCATGGGGTGAAGGGAGAGAGGGAGGTGGGTGGGTGGGAAGCATGGGAGCAAGCGGGGAGTTCACTTCCTCAGGGGCAGTATCTCTTGGGGTTGTGGCTTGTGGGTCGGGGTGTGGTGGGTGGAATCTGCGCGGCACGGCACTCGGTGCTTAAGCAACCAATCTGGCGTTTAATGCTTAATGGACACCGTCAGAGTCGACCGGCCGGCGACTCTGGTTCGCGTCAGCTCTAGCCACGTCAGGGGTGGGATTTGAGTCTTGGGCTGGAAGAGCTTTTCCACTGCCACACCTCGTCTTACAAGGCACAGTCGCTGGGGGTGCTGTTTCCGAAGGGAGTGGGCTGTCTGCTGCTCCTACTGCTGGCAGGTAAAGGTGGGGAGGGGCAAGAGGTGGTGGTGGATTGGGTGGGGAGGAAGAGTGGGGATGGTGTGGTAAAGCATGGTATGATACAATGTGGCATAGAATGGTGTGACATAGTATGGTGTGACATAGCATGGTGTGACATAGTATGGTGTGACATTGTATGGTGTGACATAGTATGGTGTGACAGTGTGGTGTGACATTGTGTGGTGGGAGATAGTGTGGTGTGACCTAGTGTGGTGTAACATAGTGTGGTGTGACATAGTGTGGTGTGACATAGTATGGTGTGACATAGTATGGTGAGACATAGTATGGTGTGACATAGTATGGTGTGACATAGTATGGTGTGACATAGTATGGTGTGACATAGTATGGTGTGCCATGGTATGGTGTGACATAGTGTGGCATTGTACAGTGTAGTATGTTATTGTGTGGACAATACAGTGTCATGATACTTTGTGGTACAATACGTTGTGGTATGATACTGTATGATATATTAAGATGTGGTGTAATACATTGTGGAGTGATACAACATGGTGTGTTACAGTGTAGTATGAGACAGTGTAGTGTGATATGGTGTGGTATGAAGTGTTATGATATGATGGACTGCGGTATGATACAGTATGGTTTGAATGGTGTGTGGTGTGGTACCACTGCGATATGATTGAGTGGGTGTGACACACCTTTCTTGCATAGTGTGACATAGCGCGGTGTGTTATGGTGCGAAATTGTGTGTCTGGTGTGAACTCGTATGGTGCTCTATTGTGTGACCACTTTCATGGTGTGGCATGTCATGGTGTGGCGTGCCATGACATACTGTGGTATGTCAATGTGTGGTATGCAATGGTGTGGCATGTCATGGTCGTATGGTGTGGCATTGCATGGCATGGTGTGGCATGTCATGGTGTGGCATGTTACTGGTATGATGTGGCAGGTTATGGTGTGGCATGGCATGGTGTGGCATTTCATGGTTTACATGGTGTGGCATGGCATAATGTGGCATCTCATTGTGTGGCATGCCATGGAGTCACATGTCATGTTGTGGCATGGCATGGCATGGCATGTCATGGTGTTGCATGGCATGTGTTGCATGTTATGGTTCACAGGCTGGCGGGAGCTCAACGGAAGGGGAGCACTATGGATGCAGAGAGGACAGTTTGCGGGGGAAGAGGACGGAAGACTGGTAGAGGAGCGGAGTCGTGTAACATGCATGGTTTGCCTCAGTTACCATGCCATGTCGCCATACTGACACATGACATCATGGAGAAGAGGGCTTGTTGTTGGGTGCTGGCGGCAGTCTGCCGGCTAACTTCAATGCTACTGATGACGGCGGCTTATTTGTGAACGATGCTTATGATGTCAACACACAGTATACCTTGTTTGAACGCTTTGTATTGGTGTTTGTTCCATGTATACCATTTAGAGTAATTATGCGTTAGCCCAAAATGCAGAAGAGGTCAGGTACTGCGAAAATTATGGAAACCGTGAGGGTGAAATGCGGAAATATGAAACCACACATTTAATTTCCACATCATTCGACCCTCTAAATTAAGGAACTATGTTCTGAAAAAGAAATGATAGTACGGTATGAGAGATTCTTTGGGAATAACATGGACTTATTTCTTCTGGGAATAACATGGACTGTTTTATTCTGTATTTCGGTGCTCATACACAATAGTGAACATAAAACAGTCACACATCACAATGACGCGGTTTGTTCTGGAAAGTTTCAACTTTTATTTTTTTCTGAACAGCCCATCTCGTTTGCTATTTTCAAGTTATTGTCAAATTCCTTGGACGTTGCATAGAAGCAATCAGAACGAGCGTCGGAGCGGAGCAGGTTTCGGAATCGGAATGAAACCCGTCTTTGTTGAAGTCCACTCCTGAGACGGATTTGTGAAAACGCGAAGGGTTTCTAGCACAATTCGACAGCTTCGCGCCATCACAGCCCCAAAATTCTCCGACCCCAGCATCCACGCATTTCTCCGCCGCTTGTGCCGTTGCGCTTTCAATTCCTCCAATGTGACCGTTGTCTCGATTCAGTTGATCTGCCTTCTTCCTTCGCTCCCACACAGCTTTCCTCCTTGTGCCAGTCCTTCAGACATTCACGAGTTGTTGCTTGTCAAAATCCGTTGTTCTGGAAAAGATTCCTTGTCAACAGCAATTTGGCTGTTTACATAGTAGACCTGCCTGCGTGTGGGACCGTTAGGAAGCCTGAGGGACCGGATTCTCGTGAGGCGGAAGAGGCATGACGTCACTGTACACATCATTCCGCCTTTTCCGCTGCAGCAGCAGGATCTCACGTTAAACGAAACTTGCCGAGGGGGGTAGAACTAGTGATTTGCAGGTTTCTACGTGTAGTCATTTCACAGGCAACTTCATTTTCGACCTGCATGCGATAGGCTGTTTGGTGGATAAGGCCGTCGCCAGGTCGACGTGTGTCGCCAGCTGAGCTCATGCGACGCAAGTTGAGCTCGTGCGACACTGTCTAATGCCAGATAGCGTATTCGCTACCACGAGCCATATTCTACTGTCACCTTCCTCTCCTACTTCAATAAGAAACGCACGTGTAGCTCAATCGTGTGCTGTATGGTGGTAACCAGCCGCTACGATTCCCGTTCTGATAGAAGCACGTTGCGGATTTCGGTTCCGGCTCTACCTAATGGCTCCCTCTGAGATGTAGGGATCTAGCCTCGGATACCCTTCCTGCCGCGTCTAGGCGGAAGTTCGTGTAGGTCGTAAGTTCGTCTAGGCGGAAGTTCGTGTCACTATTGCGTTGGGCGGAAGTTCGTGTCACTATTGCGTTAGGCGGAAGTTCTTGTCACTATTGCGTTAGGCGGAAGTTCGTGTCACTATTGCGTTGGGCGGAAGTTCGTGTCACTATTGCGTCAGGCGGAAGTTCGTGTCACTATTGCGTTGGGCGGAAGTTCGTGTAGGTCGTAGCAATGAAGGGCCCCATGTCCCCGCTCTCGCTGCGCGCGACGGAGTTGGAGGACCGCCCGCCGGAGTGGATGGCGCTCATCGCGCCGTCATCCTCGGCGGGCCCTGCGCCGCCTCTCCCGTCGGCGTCCAGCAGCAATGGCGGAGCAGGAGGTGGCTTAAAGCCCCGGTGAGCAAAGCGTACTTTCCTTTGGGCTCAAAGGGTGTTTATGAGGTCTACTGAGGCAAAACACCCAGGAACAGGAAGCGGCTTAATGCCCCCGTGAGCGAAGCGCAGGTTCCGTCTATTGTTCAACAGTCCGACGTTGTGAGATGTTATTCTAGGCGCTTTAGAGCTCGTCCAGCAGCAATGGGGTAACAGGAAACGGCTTGAAGTCCCAGTGAGCACAGCTCAGGTCCCTGTGTTTTGCTACACTTCTGAAAGCACCCAGCCATGGAGTGAAGGGCGAAGCTTAGCCATTCCCCCGCCTCTTCTCTTCCCTATCCATCCCACATCAGCCGCGTGCGAGTGCAGCCAATGTCACACCCCTCGCACGCGGACATCTACGACAGCAGCTCTCAAAAACGCATTTAGCTCCTCATTCCCCATTCCCCCTCTCTCCCCACCTTCCGCCCTCACCCCACCTCAGCCGCGTGCGCGTGCTGCCTGTGCCACACCCCTCGCACGCTGACATCCATGACAGCGGTTCCCAAACACACTCATTCATCCGCCCCCTTCTCTCTCCTCCCTCTCTCTCCCAATCACCTGAATCAGCCGCGTGCGAGTGCTGCCAGTCTCACACCCCTCCCACGCTGACATCTACGACAGCGGTTCTCCCGGCGGGACCGGGGGTTTTATTGGTTCCAACTGCTGGGCGGCATTTTGGCGCGTAGTGCACTACCTCTTCCCGTGTACCAAGTGGATGGCGGCTTATAACCTGCGAGACGACCTCTTGGCGGACCTTATAGCGGGGATAAGCGTGGGCACGATGCTTGTGCCACAGGTAGGTGCACACGTGGCGGGATCCTGCTGATTCAGGACCCACTCGCAGTGTACAAGCGGTGCACTAGTTACTAAGTATGGTGTTTGAGTCACACCGTCATACTTGTGTGCTTACCGTTTTGTTCGTTCCAACTGGCCTTTTCACTTGCTTCAAATTCCCGTTCCATTCACCGTTCCCTTCCCTTCTTTCCACCGTTCATCATCCCCCCCTCACTTCCCACACCTCCCCCTCATTCTTTCCCGATGAACCGCACTCCTACCCCTCGTCCCATCATCCTCCTCTTTCCCCTTCTTTCCTGTTTCTCTCCCTCTCTTTTCGCCGTCCACCCCTCCCTCCTCCCCCCTCACAGTCCATGTCATACGCTAAGCTTGCTGGCCTCCCCCCGATATACGGCCTATGTATGTATACCAATGCGCATGACATGTCTTAAACTAGTCTATTCATGCCATGCCATGCGCTTGGCATGCCATTTGTCTTTCCCCATCCCCCTTCCCCCGTCCCCTCTTGCCCCCCTCTTCCATCCTCCCTCCCCTTTCCCCCTTCCCCCGTCCCCCTTCCCCAATTCCCCCTCGTCAACCCACGCCGCTGTCTCTTCCCCCCACCCAGACTCGGGTTCGTGCCCATCCTCAGCTGTGTGGTGTTTGGTTCCTCCACTCCTCCTCTTTCCCCCCGCGCCTGTCCCCCCCCCCTGGCCAGACTCGGCGTTCGTGCCCATTCTGAGCTACGTGGTGTTTGGTTCATCCCGCCAGCTGGCAGTGGGCCCCGTGGCCATCGTATCCATTCTCACCTTCGACGGGCTCAGGAAGGTTGTAGCAGAGAAGCTACGAGACTCGGCTGTAGCGGCGGGTTTGGCTGCAGCAGGGAGCGTGGGAGGGGGGATAGAGCTCCCAGGCGCAACAGGTTTGGGTGGGTTCCAGCCCTCTAGGTCTCTGCTGGATTTCCGAAGCTCGGTTGGCAGTAGTGGTGGTAGTGGTGGTGGCAGTGGCAGCAGCAGCAGCAGCAGTGCTCTGGTTCCGTTTCCTGTGAGCACGGCTGCAAGGCAGCTCAGTAGCATGGGGTGGGGGATCACAGCCGCGGAACTGACAGGTGGAGGAGGAGGAGCAAGGGGAGGGATGCTAGGAGGAGGGGCAGCAGCGGCAGGAGGGGCAGTAGGGGCGGGGGATGTGACCATGGAAGAGTTGGCAGTGCTGCTGGCGCTCATGGTGGGGCTGCTCGAAGTGCTCATGGGCCTGCTCAGGTACGTGTTGTGTTCTCAGGTGTTTTTTCAGAGACTTCTCATATGTGCTCTTTCAAGGGGCTTCTCGGGTTCATTTTGGTAATTAACATTCTTGGGTTTCTCCTGGGCCTCGTATTTCGTACCTTGTCTCATCATGATTCCAGAAAAATGCACCTTCCCTCCTTTTTTGTCCTTTTCTCCATCCTCCATCCCTCTCTCGCCCTCCATGTCTCTCCTCCCGTCCTTTCCAGAATGGGGTGGCTCGTGCGTTTTCTCTCTCACAGCGTCGTCTCGGGATTCACCTCGGGAGCGGCTCTCCTTGTGTGCGTGTCAGTGGCAAAGGACATTCTCGGATTCTCCATGCCGGGTGAGTGAGGGGTGAATGAGGGGGGTTTGCGACCGCAAGGCTGGAGGCGAGTGTGTGTATGTCGGGTGAGTGAGACTACAAGGCTGGAGGCGAGTGTGTGTATGCCGGGTGAGTGAGACTACAAGGCTGGAGGCGAGTGTGTGTATGCCGGGTGAGTGAGACTACAAGGCTGGAGGCGAGTGTGTGTATGCCGGGTGAGTGAGACTACAAGGCTGGAGGCGAGTGTGTGTATGCCGGGTGAGTGAGACTACAAGGCTGGAGGCGAGTGTGTGTATTCCGGGTGAGTGAGACTACAAGGCTGGAGGCGAGTGTGTGTATGCCGGGTTACAAGGCTGGAGGCGAGTGTGTGTATGCTGGGTGAGTGAGACTACAAGGCTGGAGGCGAGTGTGTGTATGCCGGGTGAGTGAGACTACAAGGCTGGAGGCGACTGGTGGTGTCCGCCTCATTCCCCTCCTCAGGAGCGGCGCTCCCAGTGTGCGTGTCAGTGGCAAAGGACATTCTCGGAATCGTTATGCTTGGTGAGTGAGAGTACTTTGAGTTATGGGGGTGACTGGGCAAATAACAAAGGCGAAGAATGGGGGCGTTGTTGCTGCTGCTATTCTGTTAGAGCTAAAAATCCAAGCCCTGTTTGGAGCTGAGATGATGCTAAGTTGCCTTAACCCCCACCGTTCTCCCATACTTCTAATCCGTATGACTTTTGAGAATTCCCACCATTCTCAAAAGCCATACTTGTAATCCCCACATCGTGCCACATACTCACGGCAGGCCAGACCACCTTTGTAGCGGCGCTGTCGCACATAATCAAGCAGATCATGGCGGGGAGGGCGCACTGGGAGCCCATGGCGCTAGGAGGGGGCGCGCTGCTGCTGCTGCTGCTCATGAAGGAGGCGGGCAAGAGCTGGAAGTCCCTGCAGGTGCTGCGATGCGCCGGGCCCTTCACCAGCATTGTGCTCGGTGCCTTGGTCGTCAACCTCTGGCGGCCCCCGCATGTGCCTGTGGTGAGTCTGTTGACAAGCTCTAGGGGCAGCTCCCTGCTGCTGCCACTGCTGCCGCTGCTGCTGCTTATGAAGGAGGCGGGCAAGAGGCTGAAATCCCTGTAGGTGCTGCCGGGCCCCTCAACAGCATTGTGCTGGGAGCCATAGTCGTCAAGCTCTGGCAGCCCCTGCCCGCATGTGCCTGTGGTGAGTATTTCAGCGAATTTCAGTGGTAGTTCTTGTTCGTTAATTTTCCGCTGCTGCTGCTGCTGCTGATGAAGGAGGCGGGCAAGAGCTGGAATTCCCTGCAGGTGCTGCGATGCGCCGGGCCCTTCACCAGCATTGTACTTGGTGCCTTGGTCGTCAACCTCTGGCGGCCCCCGCACGTGCCCCTGGTGAGAATTTTAGAAGGGTTACGGGGCAGTTCTGCTTCCCTTCCCATTTTCCATCCCCATCCCCACTTCCCTTCCATCACAGGTGGGCGAGATCCCTCAGGGTCTGCCCTCTCTCTCCACGGCCTTCCCCTGGGAGTATTTCCCCAAGCTGCTGCCAACAGCACTCGTGATTACAGGAGTGGCAATCCTGGAGTCATGTGGAATAGCCAAGGCGCTGGCAGCGCGCAATGGCTACGCCATCGACGCCAACCAGGAGCTCTTTGGGCTCGGCATGGCCAATGTGCTCGGCTCCTTCTTCTCCTCCTTCCCCACCACTGGTGAGCGAAGTCCTTCCGTCCCCACCACCGTTGAGCTCTGCCGGCGCGAGTTGTCCCCCCTGCCACCATAGCCCTCCCTTACCCTTCCCTAGGACAGCCTTTCACCCTTTGCACACCCGATCACCTCCTTCCCCACCTCCCCTCTGCGCCCCTTCCCCCACCTTCCCCCACATGCCCATGCCCCCTCTCTGCAGGCTCCTGCTCCCGATCAGCAGTGGACAACGAGGTGGGAGCGCGTACGGCACTGAGTGGGCTCATCATGGCTCATCTTTCCGCCTCTCCTCTCTGCCTCCTCCGTCGTACCCTCACTGCCTTTCTCCCATCACCGCAGGCTCGTTCTCTCGATCAGCAGTGAACAACGAGGTGGGAGCGCGCACAGCACTGAGTGGGCTCATCATGGCGCTCATGGTCGTCGCCACGCTGCTCTTCCTCACTCCAGCCTTCAGAGACGTGCCGCAGGTGCGTATGGGTGCCTTTAGAGTCAACTTGAGACAACAAAAACCTCCTTGAGTACAGCGGGTAGTGTGTGGATGAGCTGAAAGGGCAGTCAGGCATATGGTCCATACTACACATCGCACGGCAGTGACTTTTGAGAATTCTCATGTGACTTTTGAGAATTCTCATGTGACTTTTGAGAATTCTCATGTGACTTTTGAGAATTCTCATCTGACTTTTGAGAATTCTCATGTGACTTTTGAGAATTCTCATGTGACTTTAGAGAATTCTCAAAAGGGCAGTCAGGCATATGGTCCATACCACACGTCGCACGGCACGGAGTGGGTGGGCTCATCATGGCGCTCATGGTCGTGCCCACGCTGCTCTTCCTCACACCGGCTTTCAAGGACGTGCCGCACGTGCGTATAAGTGGCTCGTGGGTGGCTTCCTCTCTCCAGCCTTCTCAGACGTTTCTTCGCTACGCACATACATCTGGATCGCAGTGCGGTCCATAATTCAATGGAGCCCCAGGTTGGACACCTACTTTCTACTTTTTAACTAAAAACAAGTCGCTGCCACGTAAAGACATGGCTCCAACCTGGGGCTCCATTTGTCTTTGCTACGCACATACATCTGGATGGCAGTGCGTTCCGTAGTTCTCCAAGCCCCTTCTACCCCTGCCCCTCCTCGCTCGCCTCCTGCTGCCCATCCAACCCCTTCCCCCCAGTGAGTGCTGGTAGCCTGCAGGCTGGTCGACCTACAGGACCACCTCTTCCTGTGGCGGGCATTCACCAACGCCCACCTCCCGCTGCGCCTGCCCCCTGCCTCCCTGTCCCATCACAGTGTGTGCTGGCAGCAGTGGTGGTGAATGCAGTGCACGGCTTGGTGGACCTACAGGAGCCGCTCTTCCTGTGGCGCGTGGAGAAGAAGGACCTCGTTCTCTGGTTCTGCGCCTTCCTGGGCACACTGCTGCTGGGACTGGAGACTGGCGTTCTCATCTCGGTATGTTGGTGTAACAGTTGGAGTGATGTCTGGAGGTTGGTGTGAGGCAGGAGCCGCTCTTCCTGTGGCGCGTGGAGAAGAAGGACCTCGTTCTCTGGCTCTGCACATTCTTGGGAACACTACTCATTGGACTGTAGACTGGTGTTCTCATCCCGGTACGTTGGTGCATTGCGAAATGCAGGGAGGTGAGAAGTGTAGGTGAGCCTCTGAACCTTGCTCTTTTACTGGAGACTGGTGTGCTCATTCCCCCCTTCCCCCTACCCTCTCTCCCTCCATTTTTCCTCCTCCCCTCTCCCATGGCAGGTGGCGCTCTCCCTCGTTTTTGTCATTCATGAGTCTGCCAATCCGCACATGGGTAAGTCCCTCATGCGCCCTTGCCATCCCTCGTCTTTGCCATCTTCCCCCAGCCCAAATACGAAGACGTACAGACACATGATTGCCACTGATTTCCCTGATGCCTGCATGTCCCCTTCACCTCCCGTACACCACCACTCCCCCTTGTTACTCTCCCAGTCACCATGGTATACTGCAATGTGAAGCAGTACCGAGTTGACTTTTGAGTCGACTCAAAAGCCACCATGGTATACTGCAATGTGAAGCAGTACCGAGTTGACTTTTGATTCGACTCAAAAGCCACCATGGTATACTGCAATGTGAAGCAGTACCGAGTTGACTTTTGAGTCGACTCAAAAGCCACCACGGTATACTGCAATGTGAAGCACTACCGGGACGCAACACATCACACACCTGCGCCCCTCGTTTCCCTTACTGTATTTGTCATTGCTTACTTTATTTTTCGTTGCTTGCTGTATTTCTCGTTGCTTACTGTATTTCTCGTTGCTTTCTGTATTTCTCGTTGCTTACTGTATTTCTCGTTGCTTTCCCTCCCATCTCTGCCCCTCCACCCCTCTGCCCCTTCTGCACCCACTCCCTCTCCCTCTCCCTCTCAGCCGTGCTGGGTCGCCTCCCAGGCACCACGGTCTACCGCAACGTGAAGCAGTACCGCGATGCATACACGTACAGGGGCGTGGTCATTCTGCGCATCGACTCACCCATCTATTTTGCCAACGTGGACTATATCAAAGAGAGGTGCGCTGTAGGTGCGCCTGGGTAGGTGCGGTGCAGCAACAGGCGAAATATAGCAGAAGCTCCAGTGCTCAGTTCAACTGAGTTTACTTTTGAGTCGACTCAAAAGTCAACTCGATATAGCAGAAGCTCCGGTGCTCAGTTCAAATGGTAACTGCTAAGGCTGCGCAAGTACGAGCTGCAGAGGGTGGCGTGGTGGAAGGGGAGGTCAGCAGCAGCAGCAGTAGCAGAGTGCTGTTTGTCATATCAACGCCGCCTCTCCACCTTGCCTGCTTTCCATGTGCTTGTGCTCCTCCCCTCTCACCTCAGGCTGCGCAAGTACGGGCTGCAGAGGGTGGCATGGTGGAAAGACGGTAGCAGAGTGACTGCTTCACATGTCACCTTTAACCCCTGTGTCTCTGCCCTCTCTCCCCTCCCCCCTTCCCCATACCACGGCAGGCTGCGCAAGTACGAGCTGCAGAGGGTGGCGTGGTGGAAGAGAAGGATGGCAGCAGGCAGAGTGACTGCTTCACATGTCACCTTTAACCCCTGTGTCTCTGCCGTCTCTCCCCTCCCCTCTTCCCCATTCCCCATTCCACCGCAGGCTACGCAAGTACGAGCTGCAGAGGGTGGCGTGGTGGAAGGACGGCAGCAGCGGCAGCAGCGGAGGAAGGCTGGCAGGCAGCAACGGGGGAGCCAACGGAATGGCTGTCATGGACCTGCGCTTTCTCATACTCGAGATGTCCCGTGAGTGTGTCTTTCTGTCCTCTTCCTCTATAGTCAGCTGTCCTATGGGTTTGTTGGACCCTTCTTTGTCCTTCGTGTTGAGTAAAAAAAAAAAAAAAAAATATGAATGCTCATCATTATTTTCATCCCTTGTCCTTCTGCTCTCCTACCCCCGCCCCCCTCCTGCAGCCGTTACTTATATCGATTCCACGGCCGTGCACGCCCTCAAGGAGCTCTATAACGAGTACAAGGCACGGGACATCCAGCTGTGCTTCTCCAACCCCTCGCCCAAAGTCATGCTCACCATGGCCCGAGCCGGTTTCCCTGATCTGATCGGCCGCCAGTGGTACTTTGTGCGGATCCACGACGCCGTTCAGGTGAGCTTGCTAAAGAGAGAAGAAGGGGAGGGGGGGAAGGGGCTATGTTTGACCCTTGCCCTAATTTGTCTTGTGCTGCTGAAATCCACCATTGAAACCCCTTATCGCTTCTGTTCACCTGGCCTCAGTAGTACCCTCTTCTTTCCTCTGCCCCCGCTGCTCCCACCAGGTGTGCCTTGCACTGCTGGAAGATACAGAGATCACCATCGAAACCCCTTCGCGCTACCAGCGAGCTGACTCCTCTGCAGTCAGAGCAACTTCCGCTCAGGCAGGTGGGAGCCGGCAGCAGCAACCGCAGCAGCAGCAGCGGCAGGGGGGAGTGCGAGAGGAGCGACCACACACCCCGTCACGGCATCATTCAGAGCCTCAGCAGCAGCAGGGACAACAGCAGCAGGAGGAGGGGGGAGATGAGCCGAGGGTGATTTTGCAACAGGAGCAGCTGCAACTGCAGCAACAGCACCAGCAGCAGCTGCAGCAGCTGTTGTATCAGCAGCAGCAGCAGCTGCAGCTACAGCAGCAGCAGATGCAGCAGCAGCTGCAGATGCTGCACCAACTCATCCTCCCACCTCACCACCAACAGCAGCAAGGGCAACCCCAATCACCTGAGCAAACACCTGTGTGGGAAATCCAGCCCCAGGTGACTCAGCAGGTTTCTCCCACGCCAGGCCTCACCCTCTCTCCGCACCTGTCCGCCAGCTTTGTGAATCTCGCCCAAGCTGCCCAACGAGCCAGCAGCTCAAACTCTGAAGGTGGGTTGAGTACGGTTGGGGAGGATATCCAGTCCATGTCGGGTGAGTCAGAGGAGAGTATGGGTGCGAGGCGGAGGAAGAAGCAGAGTGTGGCGACAGCAGCTGCAGATGCAGCAGATGCTGCAGAGGATGCTGCGTTCTTTGAAGGGAGGATGAGCAGTGGGACAACTGTGGGGGACCTTGCGAGTAGCTTGTCTCCCTTCTTGGAGACTGAAGGGACATTCCAAGGGCTTGATTGATGTGATAAAAGCAAGCGTCATATGGTATGATGGGATTCTTTGTTATTTCAATTAGATTCTCAAAACGTTCAAGCAATTAGTTTGAAGTATGGCTCAAAAACAAAGTAGCATCTGTGATCACTTCGGATTTTTTTTTTTTTTTTTCCTAAACCATCTCGTTCATAAAGGCCATTTGCAGAGTGTACGGGAGTGACTATAGCCTATAGCGAGAACAGGGTGAAGGTTTGGATGACGTGGCTGCTGAGCTGATGTGAATAACCAATCACAGGCTGTTGCGGCCCCCAAAAGTATTCCATTCTCGCTGCTTTGCTGACGAAAGGCTGGCGAAGGTCGCTAACCTCGTGCACCACTACTTTTCTCCGTAACGCCAGGGAAAGCGGCGAAGCAAGGAGGAGCGGAGGCCAGTACGCCGTCGTTTTCCGCGGCAGTATCTGAGCGACGTTGATGATTGGTACAACCAGGCATGTGAAATGTCGCAAGTGTGTGAGATGGCGCGGCACTTTCAAGGGCGGTCTGGTGAGGCCTGAGCGCATTTTCCCCCTTTCATGGGGGAGTCTCCAGGCGTACGGGGAGCGGGGAGGGAATCTTTCCCCGCATATGCGCGCTTTCCCTAGCACTTGTGCGCGCGCGACCAGTGCCAACCACGTGGTCAGATACACTGCCCACAGGGGTGAGGGAGTCAATTGTGAACCGTGATGCGTGCAAGTGCCCAGCCCAGCCCACAGCACCATCATGGACCTTGGAGAAATATGGAAACCCTAAATTACTCTTTTCACTATCACTCTAACAAGTGCAGTGAAGTAGTGACACTAACAAGTGGAATCAGGATCGCTTCGTGACACTTAGTGATCACGCGTTAATTTTGGTTAGCTTCTCGCCATGTGAGCACCTCACAGCTTTCGGAGACTATTGATGCCATGGATCGCGGCTCAGCTGCCGCTGATCCGTTTAGGATCGAGATAAGCTATGATGATCTGTTCCCCCACATAGTCTACCTGAACGACCTGAGACACGATCCGGACAAGGTCAAGGATGGATCAGCGGCGTCGGGTGATTCGGGACTTGTCTCCAAATGGAGAATGAAGGATCGGGTACGATTTACTGTTTCGCCATTGGGTCAACGGTTTTCGCGCCAGAAACGCTCTATCAACGCTTTAGTTCTTTAATCGCGGATACTAACTGGTGATCCTTCCGGCGTTGGGGGTGCTGCGAGCTTGAGCGAGTTTCGCTGCTGACGATAGGTGATAGCTCCACATTGGCGATACATGGTAACATCGGCTGGCGACACTTGGTAGCTTTCACTGGCGAAACATGGTAACTCTAACAGGCGAATCATGGTAGCTTTGACAGGCAACATGGTAACTTTTGCCGGCGAATCATGGTAGTTGGCGAAACATGTTTACCGTCCACAGAAAATCGACGTTTTCATAGCTAGCCAACTGTTCCTTACGCGATGTGATTATGCAGAACTTGCCGGCAACGCCATTTGTCGCTTGCAGTCTAGGCTACGGCTTGTCAATCAACGATGGTGTAGCTTCTAACCAACCACAGGTTGGGTTATTGCGATTAGGTTCAAAAAGAGAAGATGATTAAGTCTTAATATTCTGTTCACTTCCTTCTTCCCTCTCTTCCTTCCCCATCTTCCCGCGGAGCTGAATTCCAGTCTCTGCTGTAAATTGACCCCGTGATCATCGATCCCGTCCCCTGCTCCCATTCCCAAATTGACTCCCTCCTTCCTGATCCTTACCTCTCATCGCTTCACCTTTCCTTTTCTTCCTCCTCTCCACTTCCCTGTCCGTCGTTCCCCTCCTCGTCCCCCCTCTCGCGCCCCCCACACCTCCCCCCCGCTTCGCCCGGCCCCCCTACACCTTCACTCCCCCCCGCACAGATTAAGACGATCAGCGTGGCCATCGTGCTGTGTCTCAAAATTGGCGTGTACCCCCCTGACGAGTGATCTCCCATCCCCGTTCCCGCTCTGCGTTCTCCCCAATCCCCTCCCTCTTCCCTCCCCTGCCTCTCCCGCAGATGAAGACGAGCAGCGTGGCCATCGTGCTGTGTCTCAACATCGGAGTGGACCCCCCTGACGTCATCAAGATCTCGCCCTGCGCGCGAGTCGAGTGCTGGATCGGTCAGTGCCGTGCCATGCTGCTGCCTCTTTCCAATCCTCTTCCTCTCTCAGCAATCGCGTTTCCCGTCTCTGGACGTGATTGGGAGGATTCTTCATCTCTTTGTCTTATCCACGCATTACCATGCTCTTTGCCCGTCCACTCTACACTGTCTGCCCTCCACCATTCCAACCTTCCATCAAGACAACCCCACGTTGTTTGCCCTTCCATTCCCCTCGCCCCCCACATCTCTTCCATCCACCTGCAGATCCCTTTTCAATGCAAGCACAGAAGGCCCTGGATACCATTGGGAAGAACCTTCAAGCGCAGTACGAGCGCTGGCAACCCAAGGTGTGGTGTGGTAACCAGCCTCGATTAAGGTGTGGTAACCAGCCGTGATCCATGGTGATGTATGTAACAAAGCCGTGATGATAAGCTGCAATCAACCTGTGGCAACTGCTCGTAATTATCATGTGATAACTGGCCATGAATAGCGAGCGGTGACGAATTAGCCATAAGGGGTACATTTCATGCATTGCATCACATGTCCCTTCCTTCTTCCCCGCTCCAACTCTGTGTCCCCAGGCGCGCTACAAGGTGCGGCAGCTGGGATCCCACAACGGAGGAGGTGTAGAAGCTGTGCCTCACGTGTAATAGTCACCTCCTCTCCATGCATCACAACTCAGGTCCCTTTCTTCCTCCCCATTCCCCTCTCCTGTATGTTCCCCACCCCAGGCGCGCTACAAGGCGCAGCTGGACCCGACGGTGGAGGAGGTGAAGAAGCTGTGTCTCACGTGTGGCAATGCATGCATTGTATATCCCTTCGTCCCTTCCTCCCTTCCCCCCTCTACTTACTCTCCCAGACACGCTACAAGGTGCAGCTGGACCCGACGGTGGAGGAGGTGAAGAAGCTATGTGTGACGTGCCGCCACAACGCCAAGGCGGAGAGGGTGCTATTTCACTACAACGGCCACGGCGTGCCCAAGCCCCCTCTCCCTCACCCCCCCTCTTCTATGCCCCCCCAGGCGCGCTACAAGGTGCAGCTGGACCCGACAGTGGAAGAAGTGAAGAAGCTGTGCCTGACGTGCCGGCGCAACGCCAAGGCGGAGAGGGTGCTGTTCCACTACAACGGCCACGGCGTGCCCAAGCCCACAGGCAACGGGGAGATCTGGGTGTTCAACAAGACGTACACGCAGTACATCCCGCTGTCCGTGTATGAGCTCGACTCGTGGCTCGCCACGCCCTCCATCTACGTCTTTGACTGCTCCGCTGCCGGCATCATCATCAACGCGTTTGTCGAGGTAGGAAGGGGGCGTGTGCGGTGGTAGGGGTGTGTGGGGAGGTAGGGTACAGTACAGGTACCCTCTTTTCCGTCATTGCATTTGCCAAGGACGGTAGATGCCTGTCACCTTGACTCACGGGCAACGGGGAGATCTGGGTGTTCAACAAGACATACACACAGTCCATCCCATTGTCTGTCTATGAGCTCGACTCGTGGCTGGCGCCCCTTCCATCTACGTCTTTGACTGCTCTGCCGCCGGCATGATCATCAACGCATTCGTCGAGGTGGGAACCACAGCGTGCCTTAGCCAAGCCCACGGGCAACGGGGAGATCTGGGTGTTAAACAAGACATACACGCAGTACATCCCGCTGTCCGTGTATGAGCTCGACTCGTGGCTCGCCACGCCCTCCATCTATGTGTTTGACTGCTCCGCCGCTGGCATGATCATCAACGCGTTTGTCGAGGTGAGGGGGAGGGGATTGATATGCGTTGGTGGAGGTAGGTACAGTGCATGTATGTATCCGTTTACCTTCAATATGAGAAAATGAGGGGCCCTTTTTTCCTCGCCACGCCCTCCATCTACGTCTTGACTGCTCTGCTGCCGGCATGATCATCAACGCAGTCGTCGAGGTGAGGGGGATTGATATGCGAATGTGGTGGTGCACGGTGCATGCACGTATTCTTTCACCCGTCATGCGACCGCCTTAGTTGAGTGGGGGGCCTGTCTCCTCGCCACACCCTCCATCTACGTCTTTGACCGCTCTGCTGCCGGCATGATCATCAACGCAGTCGTCGAGGTGAGGGGGCCTTCCTGTGTACATGCTCAAGATTCCTTCTCCCACCTTTCCCTCAGTAACCGCCTCCGTTGCCATGTTGGCAACAGTGGCAGCGGCCTCTTTCTGTCCCTCCCTTTACCTTCTTCCTCTTCCTCTCCCCTGCCTCCCCTCCCCACCCAACCTGACTCCCCTTGCCTCCCCTTGCCTCCTCTGCCTCTGTTTTTTGTCCCTTCCGTCACCTTCTTCCTCTTCTGCTCTCCCCCCCTCCCTTCCCCCCTCGCCCCCCTTCAGCGTCCTGACTGGGCCCTAGCAGCTCCGTCCAGCCCGCTCGCGTCCCCAACAGCAGCCAGCAGGGAAGCAGCAGCCGCCACAGCAGCAGCAGCAGCAGCAGCGGGGATGCACGACCGAATACTGCTGGCAGCGTGCGGCCCAGAGGAGATTCTTCCTCAGCCGCCTGACTTGCCAGCAGACCTCTTCACTGCATGCCTCACCACGCCCATCAAAATCGCTTTGCGGTGGTGAGTGAGTGTGTTGTGAGACGGCTGCTGAAAGCCCCTGAGGTGATGATTCTTGTGCAGTGCAGTTATACTTTCAGCTTAGCTTAGGTCCCTCTCCTGGAAATTGCTCCGTGCCTCAGCATCGCACCGGCCCCACCTCGCAACTTTCTCTTTGCTCCTTCTTGTCTTCCCCTTCCCCCTTGCCCTCACCAAACCAGGTTCTTTTCTCGCTCTCTGCTCCGAGTCTCGCGCCATCCAGACATCGTGGAGCGCATTCCCGGGCGGCAGAGTGAGCGCAAGACGACTTTCACCCTCACTCGCTTCCCCTTCCCTACCCAACCCCAGGTTCTGTTCCCGCTCTCTGCTGCGCGACTCCCTCGACCCCGAGATGGTGGAGCGCATTCCCGGCCGGCAGAGTGAGCGCAAGCCAACCTTCCCTGTACCCCCTTTCCTTCTTTCTTCCACCCAACCAGGTTCTGCTCACGCTCGCTCCTGCGCGACTCGCTGGACCCCGAGATGGTGGAGCGCATTCCCGGGCGGCAGAGTGAGCGCAAGACGGCGCTGGGCGAGCTCAACTGGATCTTCACCGCCGTCACCGACACCATCGCCTGGAACACCCTCCCCACGCACCTCTTCCAACGCCTCTTTCGGCAAGACCTGCTCGTTGCGTCGCTGTTCCGGAACTTTCTGCTCGCGGAGAGGGTGATGAGGGCGAGCGGGTGCACGCCCGTGTCGTATCCACGACTCCCACCCACGCACCAGCACCACCTATGGTAAGTGGAGGGGTTTGTGTGTGTGTAAAAGGGTTTTTATTTGTAAGACTTTCTGCTCACAGAGAGGGTGATGAGAGCGAGTGGGTGCACGCCTGTGTCGTACCCGCGTCTTCCACCCACGCACCAGCACCATTTATGGTAAATGGAGGGATGGGTGGGGTGGAGGGGAAAGTTTTTTGGTCGGGCATTGAGGGTGGTATTGTGGGCGGGGCAATTCTGTGACCTGCTGGTCGCGTCGCTGTTCCGGAACTTTCAGCTTGCGGAGAGGGTGATGAGAGCGAGTGGGTGCACGCCTGTGTCGTACCCACGGCTCCCACCCACGCACCAGCATCACCTCTGGTACTGCGGGGGAGGAAGGAGGGAAGGGGGAGAAAGGCATTTCTGTTCCCATTTTGGTGGTATTATGAGTGGGGAATCTCTGTGACCTGCTCGTTGCGTCCCTGTGCCTCCCCTTGCACTTCGCTCCCTTTTCCCACCAGGCACGCATGGGGCATGGCAGCGGAGATGTGTCTTCGCACAGCTGCCATGTGGTTTCTTGAACAAGGCCGACGTTGCTCCCTCCTGCACTGAACCTCTGTCTCCCTGCTCTCCCCCCCTGCTCCCCTCCCCCCAGGCACGCATGGGACATGGCAGCGGAGATGTGTCTTGCACAACTGCCCACGCTCCTTGCAGACCCCAACGCCGAGTTCCAGGCAAGCCAATCTCTCTTCTGTTAGACAAGTCCCCTGTCTGATCAGAAGCACGAGAGTCTCGAGACGTTTCACAACCACACAATCTTGCATTGTACCAGAATCAAGTGCTTGCATTAGCTGCTTTCATTGACCAGTCTCCGAACGACTTTGCAGAGGCTCCGATATCCGTGTCACCCTTTGATTTGGTTTGAGTGATCTCTCACATAGAGGATGAAGCAGGGGCGTCCTCACTTAGCTTATTGTCTGCCTGCCCGACCCCTTTTCCTGCGCTTCTCTGCCTGCCAGCCCAGCAGCTTTTTCTCGCAGCAGCTGATGGCGTTTGAGGTGTGGCTGGAGCACGGCAGCGACAAGAAGAGACCCCCGGAGCAACTCCCCATCGTGCTGCAGGTCCGTCCCTCCCTATCGTTCTTTCTCGTGCTCTGTAGACATTTAAACGCTCTCTGTGTGCTTTGCCGTTTGAGGTGTGGCTGGAGCATGGCAGCGACAAGAAGAGACCCCCGGAGCAACTCCCCATCGTGCTGCAGGTCCGTCCTCCTTAGTCTCTCTTTTTCCTGCACAGGATACATCAATATTTCTGCCATGCTTTTGAGTTGACACAGGTGTCAGTCACATCGAATGCTGTTCCACTTCTCGTTCTCCTGCACCTCCTCGCCCTTCTGCCCCTTTCCCCCCCTCCCTCCCCCATCAGGTGCTACTCAGTCACTCGCACAGGCTGCGAGCTCTCGTGCTTCTGGGAAGATTCCTCGACATGGGACCCTGGGCTGTCGACCTGGTGAGTCACACTGCTTCCTCTCGCTCCCTTTCTGGACCCGCCTCCTCCCATGTCCCCCTCTCTTCTTCCCCAAACTCCCCGCCACCCCCCCGCGCCCTCCCCCTTCTCCTGTCCTCTTCTCACTCCTCATGCACGTTGTGTTGTCATCGATTCAACTCCCAGACACTCTCAGTAGGTGCTGATTTGAATGTTCATTTACGTGTGCTCAAGCTGATGGAAATCTTTTGAGAATTTGCATTTGTGATTTCCATACTCAGTGCTTGTATTCCTCTACGTGCACAAGCTGCTGGATGTTCTTCGTCATGTTCACATCAATCCCCTCGCTCTCTCCTCTGCACCCATTCCCATAAATATGCAGGCGCTGTCTGTGGGCATATTCCCGTATGTGCTCAAGCTGCTGCAGACGAGTGCAGTGGAGCTGCGGCAGATCCTCGTGTTCATCTGGACCAAGATCCTGGCTCTTGATAAGGTGGGCAGTTATTTAGGAGGTGACACGGCTTAGTGCTTCCATGGCATAGGAGCAGAGCTGTGTGAGTTTTTTCAGTCCAGATCCTCGTATTTGGTTCGGTACAGGCTGCTATGGTGACACACTGCCGCATGTATATTTGAATTTCAACAAGTGCCTGGACGGACTCTCACGAGCCCTACTCCTCCGACTCCAGGAAGCGAGTAGGGGACTGCTGCTGACCCCCTCTGTGCTCTCCGCTGCCCCTCTCTTTCCCTATGCCTCTCTCCCTTCTTTCCAGTCATGCCAGGTGGATCTGGTGAGGGATGGCGGCCACATGTATTTCATCAAGTGCCTTGAGACCCACGAGCCATACTCCTCCGACCCCAGGGAGCGAGCCACAGTGGCTTTTCAGCGAGCCATGGCTGCGTTTGTGCTTGCGCTCATATGCGATGGTCATCCCAAGGGGCACCAAGCTTGCCTGCAGGTGGGCTGCTGCTACCCTAAGTGATTTGACTTGAAATGGGTTGCTGCTATTGCAGGTAGTTTGATTTGAAGCGACTCGATTTGCTGGTACAGGGCTGCTGGTGCAAGCTCTTAACCCTCTCTTCCCATTCCCCTTTGCCCCACCCTTCCCCCAGGCGGGACTCATCCCTCTCTGCCTGATGCACATCCAAGCTGCGCCTCCAGCAGAGCCACTGCTGCTGCAATGGCTGTGCCTGTGTGTGGGCAAGCTGTGGGGGGGAGCGCCAGAGGCACAGGCAGCGGCATTGGCTCAGCATCGCGCCCCTCAGATCCTTTCCCCGTTACTGTCAGAGCCACAGCCAGAGGTGAGAGTATGGTGTTTAGAAAGTTTTCATTGGAACATGCGTGGCGGGCACGGGAACATTCGTTCAGGGGGTCACAAATTGCAGGGTCAACAGCAGCAGGCAGAGCAAGGGAGGCGTGACAGGCAGGAGGAGGATGCGGGGCAGAGGCCTGAGGAAATGGAAGTGTACGACGTGATTGACTTGACGTTGGAGAACGACGAGGGCATGCTTGTCCATTCTTTTGATCATGTACAGCTCTCGCCTGGGGATGGAGAAGAAGCAGAAAGAGGGAGAGGGAGTGGAGGATGAGAGTCGGAATTGGGAGGAGATGGAGGAGAGGATAGAAAAGAAAGAGAGCGGGGAGGTGAAGAAAATGCAAGGAGTTTTCGGGCTAAGCGCCTGATGTCCTGTGTGTCTGGGTGATTGCAGGAAGTAGAGGTTTTGGGGTTGTGGACATGTATTCTGCAAGTGCTGTATTAGAAAAGCTTTTCAGAGGGCTGCAGAGGAAGCCTTTCTAATGCAGTGCTTGCAGATCACATGCCCACAACCCAAAAACCTATCCTTCCTACAATCTCCCAGACACACAGGACACCTCAGGCGCTTAGCCCGAAAGCTCCTTGCATTTCTTTCACCTCCCCCCTCTCCTTCCTTTTAATCCTCTCCTCCATTTCCTCACAATCCCGCTTCTCCTCCTCCAACCCCGCTCCCTCTTTCTGCTCCCTCTCCATCCCCAGACGACAGCTGTACAATATCAGAAAAATGGACAAGTATGTCCTCGTCCTTCTCCAGCGTCAAGTCAATCACGTCGTGCACTTCCGAACCACAGCCACAAGTAGCATAGATGCGTTGATTCACATTGCTGTCTGTGGAGGGGTCTCACAATCTCCCCCTCTGTCTCCCCGTCCTTTGCCCCCTTGTTCCATATTCCACCTACCAGGTCCGAGCGGCAGCAACATATGCCCTGGGCGCTTTGATCCACATCGCTTCGGAATCACAGCCGGGGGAAGGGACAGCAGCAGGAGTAGGAGTAGGGGCGGGAGTAGGAGCAGCAGCAACAGGAGGAGATTCAGCTGCAGGTGCAGGAGCTGGTGTTGGGGGGGTTCTAGGGGAGGGGCCATCTGCCACAGCAGGAGGAGCAGTGGGGGGTGCAGCAGCAAGAACACCGGGTTCAGAAGGCGGGTCAGCAGTAGGAGGAGCAGCAGGAGGAGTATCAGGAGCAGCAGCAGGAGGAGCTGGGACAGGAGGAGCAGCAGGAGGAGTAGGAGCACAGGGAGCAGCAGGTGCAGGCGGAAGCAGTGCAGGTTTATCTGGGGTAGGGTCAGCTGGGGCGGAGTGGAGGGAGGAACAAAGATTAGCAGCAGAGAGAGGGGTGCTGCAGGTGTTACTTAAAGTGCTGAATGATGGGAGCCCCATGGTGAGGAAAGAGCTTGCTATAGCACTGGCTAGAATAGCCCACGGACATCGCCGCCCTTTTCGGCTCGCTGCGGCGTCTTATCTGTGCCGCCCGTCGCTCGTGGCCGGCAGCGCAGCCGGCATGGGTATGGGGTTTGGCAGATCCGGTTCAGAATTGGACAGGCTCGGTGCAGGGCAAGCAGGTTTGGAAGTGCATGGATTCACAGAGCAAATGACAGGTTTGGGCATAGGTGGAGGAGGTGGGGAAGCAGGAGCAAATGGAGGAGGAGGGATGGCAGGATTGAATGGCACAGGAGGCCTTTCAGGTTCGGGTATGCCCTCGTCAGGTTCGGGTCTCAATCTTCCCTCTCTCGCTCCCCAAGTCAACATGGTAGGGCTTAGGCTCGGCACGGACGGTCGGCTGTACCCCAGGCCAGGTCCGGCAGTGAACGCACCTCTCCCGGTCCTCCAATCCACCGCAGGCTCGGCGGTGGTGGGCCGGATGCTGGCACATTCATTTGACGCAGCAGGCTCAGGAGTAGGCTCGGGAGGTACGGCGGCAGGTTCGGGGAACACAGCAGCCTCGGGAGGGTCAGCTTCGTACTTGAGAGTGTATGAGGAGGAAGGGGAGAGGGATGGTGGGGGGGGAGCAGCAGCAGGAGGGGTAGGAGGGAGCAAAGGACAGGGGGGTGTGGGGAGCAAGGGCACAGGGGCGGCAGCAACTGGGGCAGGCGGTACTGTAGCAGGTACAGGAGGAGGGGCGGGAGGAGGAGGAGAAGCAGGAGAGAGTGGTGTTACAATAATGATACCTCCTTTGGTGAATGGGATTGTTCCTATAGCAGAAGGTGCTTCTGAGAGCGAAGCTTCATCAGGGGAGGACAGAAGTAGGGGGAATGAGGGCCAGCAGCAGTCAGGTGAAAATCCAGGTGGAAGTGGGAATTTGGCCGCGAACCCTCCGTCTACCTCTGCTGCAGCTGCCGCTACAGCTGCTGCTACAGCTGCGGCTACAGCGGCAGTAGCAGAAGCTGCAGCAGTGGCGGTTGCTGCTGCTGTCACCAGTTCTGGATCACCAGTCACAACAATCCCACCCGCTCCTCAAAACCCCCTCTTCTCCCTCTCCTCCCCAACCAGCCTCTCAGCTTCGGCACCGGACCTCTCCTTCCTCCGGGGCGCTGCCGAAGCTGCCAGCGGCTCGCCCGGGAGAGTGCTAGGGATGCCTCCAGGGGATGTGACTGTAAGGGGCGGAAGGCCTGGGTGGCTGGGACAACCCCAAGGCAGGATACCCCCGGGAATGGGTCCAAACGGCGGGCTTATATGGGGGGGATTAGATGTTACAGACAGCGCGACTTACCTGCAGAGTATGATTGCTGTATACACCCTTGCAAGGGACCCTGCCCCGTCTGTATCTAAGATCAGCCGACAGACTCTTGCCCAGATTGGCTCCTCTGTAGCTGCAGCAGCTACTAGTCTCAACGCGGCAGCGGCAGCGGCAGCAGCGGCGGCAGGAGCAGGAGGAAGGGTGGGGGGAGCGGGGCCGGGAGGAGGAGGGATGGGCGGAACTGGGATGGGGTATGACGCGTTTATGATGCCGATGATGGTGCCTGGGATGGGTGGGGTTGGGGGGGGCATGGTAGCAGGGGGGCTTGCTCCGTCTGCTAGCTTCAGCAACCTGACTCGGAGCAGCAGCAGAGATACCGGGACGGTGATAATCACTGGTGCTGGTGCAGCTGCGGCTGGTGGTGGAGCCATTGGCACTCCGAATCTCTCTCTCGCTGCTGCTGCAGCAGTGGGGGCCGCGGGGCCTGTGGGTTTGCCAGGCCTGGGGGGGGTGGGCGGGGGGATGGGGCATCACGGGCTGATGAGTCCTGCCATGAGTCCACGTGTCCCCTCCCCATTGGCTGCTGGGTTGGCTCCTGCGATTACCCGGTCAACTTCATGGGTTGCGCCTGTCAACGGTGAGATGTTACGATTCATTTTTCTTCTTAGGCGTTGCTACTGTTGCCGCTGCTGCTTCTGCTGCCGTTGCCGCCGCAGCCTCATAATGTTGGCATCTATTTTTGCATGCTCACCCTATGACCTACCTCCCTCCCACTCTTCCCCTTGTTTCCTGTCTAGCCCCACACCCAATCGGCAGCTGGCGCCAGCTGGCAGCACCACAGCTCGCCATGTCACCCTCTGCCGCCGCAGCTTCGGGATTCCTCCAAGCCCGGGACCCGTTCGGCCTGGTGGCTCGGGACAGCCTCGGGCTGCCGCCGATGCTGGCAGCAGGTTCGGGAATGCAGGCTCGGGACAGTGGGATGCGGAGGGTAATGACTGCAGTGGATTTCTCGTCGTCCCAGCAGCAGCAGCAACAGCAGCAGCAGCAGAGGCAGATGGGGGTGATGGGGAATGGGGAGATCCTTGCAGGAGTGCATGTGCTGTCATCTGTCACAGGAGGAGGAGGGTACCCGCCCTTGAGACCATACGTGAGTGTGCACCCTAAAACCTAAACCCCTCGTCTTTTGATTTGCCTCAAAAGGGATGGGGAGTGGGAAGATTCTTGCAGGGGTGCATGTGCTGTCATCTGTCACGGGAGGAGGAGGGTACCCACCCTTAAGACCAAACGTGAGTGGGTATGGGACGTGTTGACTTGACATCTGTACTTGCTGCCGTTTTTTTTCTTCTTCTTCTTATTCTTTCTTTCTTTCTTTTCTTTTTACGGCTGCATGGCATGGCCATGTTGTTGAAGTGCTTGCTGTGTTGATTCAGGTCTCCTATCTCTGTCTCTCTGTCCGTCACCCCTTCACCCCGTCACCCCTTTGTCCATGCAGCACGCAGCTGTCTCGTCAGACGCCATTGCGCACCCGTCCAACCCACCTGCACTTACAACCCCTGCTAGTCGCCCTCAAAACCCTAACTCCGCTTCCTCTCAACCTTCTACTGCGAGTGCTGCCCCTGCTGCTGCCCCTGCTGCTGCCCCTGCTGCTGCGCCTGCTGCCACCTCTGCCACTGCCCCCTCTGGTGCTGCTACAGCCGCGGGTACATTGCCTGCTGTGGGATATGCAAGCATCCCGAATCCTGCTGCTGCTGCTGCTGGCTCCAATGCGACAAGCTCTACAGGCACAGCCGGTGGGCCCAGTGGGCTAGGGACCCCCCCGGCCCTCTCCGGCCCTCTCTCGGCCTCTCTCTCCGCGTCGCTCCTGGACCCGTTTCTGTCGCTGGATGCAGCGGCAGCGGCGCAGGCGAAGCCGGTGCCCAAGTCGGGGCTGTATGCGTGGAGCTGTGGGCACTTGTCGCGGCCGCTGCTGGAGGCGGTGTGTGACGCCGAGGCAGAGACGAGGCGAGCGGCCCGAGAGAAGAGAGCGGCTGAGGGCGTGGCAGAGTGCCGGCGAGCAAGTGAGTGTCTGAAGGGGGGAGGGGGGATTTGGGGGAGGGATTGGGGTGGAGGGTTCTGGGCGAGTGTGTGGTGTATGGGGAGTGGAATGCGGGGCCGTGTGGGGTGTGTTGGGAGAGCATTGGGGTGCAAAGCTGGTGCCCAAGTCGGGGCTGTATGCGTGGAGCTGTGGGCACTTGTCGCGGCCGCTGCTGGAGGCGGTGTGTGACGCCGAGGCTGAGACGAGGCGAGCAGCTAGAGAGAAGAGAGCGGTTGAGGGCGTGGCCTTGTGCCGGCGAGCCAGTGAGTGGGGACAAGGGATTGGGAGGGTTCTGGGTGGGTGTTGTGTGGGGAGTGAAATGAGATGCATTTCTCCCTTCTCTCTCTCGCTGCTCTCCCTCCCTGCCCTCTCTCCCTCCTCTCTCTCCCCCTTCTCTCTCCCTGCTCTCTCTGCCAACTCTCTTCCCATCTGCCCCTCCTCCTTTCTTCCTTGTGTGTGCAGCAGTGAGCAAGGTGAGCGATCAGATCGCGAGCTTCGACACCGAAACAGACATGATGACTGAGGCCGTGCTCCTGCACCCCTTCCTGCCGCCCTTTCCTCTGTTCTTTTGAGGCGCCTCAAAAGTCGCCCACTGTTTCCCGCCCTACTCACTCTCCTAACCCCCCTGCTTGCTCCCCACTCCCGCCATCTCCCCCATCCCCATCACAGCGGTGAGCAAGGTGAGCGATCAAATCGCGAGCTTTGACACCGAGTCGGATATGATGACCGAGGCTGTGCTCCTGCACCCCTTCCTGCCACTCGTGTGCATCGCAGACGAGAACGAGGTTGTGAGGTGAGTAGCACAGACACGCTTTTTTGTTGTTGTTGCTGTTCTTCTTCTTGTTGTTGTTGTTGTTCTTTTTTTTTTCCTTTTGGTACCTTAGGTTCATATGGCATGTCTTGCTGTTCATTTTAGTTCACCAATCCATCTCGACACTCTCTCCTTCTCTCTACCTCAGAATCTGGAACTACGAGGAGGGACTGACAGTGAGCACGTTTGACAACCAGACGGGGGGCGGGGGCGGTGCGGACAGGCACAAGGGGGTGAGCCAGCTGTGTCTGCTCAACGAACTAGACGACACACTGCTGCTGGTCGCTTCCAGTAAGTTAACTCTTCCTTGTCGAGCCCTCAGCAGTAAGGGAGGTGGAGCGGACGGGCACAAGGGAGTGAGCCAGCTGTGTCTGCTCAATGAACTAGACGACACACTGCTGCTCGTGGCCTCCAGTAAGCATTCTCTTTCTGGTTGAGCTCTCTCTCTCTGTCTCCTCTCACACCACACAAGGGTGGGACGGGCACGAGGGGGTGAGCCAGCTGTGTCTGCTCAACGAACTAGACGACACGCTGCTGCTCGTGGCCTCAAGTAAGTATGCTCTTTCCAGTAATTACTGCTTGTGTGCTACTGCTTGTTTCTCTCTCTGTCTCTGTCTATACCCACAAGGGAGTGAGTCAACTGTGCCTGCTCAACGAGCTAAACGGCACGCTGCTGCTCGTGGCCTCCAGTTAGCATTCTCACGTATTCTCTCTCTGGTTGAGCAGTTTTTGAGGCGCCTCAAAAATCCTCCAGTTAGCATTCTCACGTATTCTCTCTCTGGTTGAGCAGTTTTTGAGGCGCCTAAAAAATCCTCCAGTTAGCATTCTCACGTATTCTCTCTCTGGTTGAGCAGTTTTTGAGGCGCCTAAAAAATCCTCCAGTTAGCATTCTCACGTATTCTCTCTCTGGTTGAGCAGTGAACAAATTTCTTTTATTTGAGTATTCTTCGTTGTGTATTTCCCATCCTTGTGTTTCGCTACAGGGGACGGCAGTGTGCGTGTTTGGAGGGACTTTGCGCGGAGAGGCAAGCAACGAATAGCCACAGCATGGCAGGCCGTTCAGTCCCACTCCCACCACCTCTTCTCCTCCTCCTCGTCCCCCTCCTCCCTTTCCTCCGCTGCCCGTCCTTCCTCCTCCATCCCCTCACCTTCCGCCTCTCCTTTTTCCACATCTTTATCCTCTTCTAATCTACAGTCGCAACAGCAAATAACTGATTCTAACATGTCTCACCGGCACCATCAGCAGCAGCACCAGCATCATCCTACTAACCAGCGATTAGACCAGCAGCAACAGCAGGTTCGGGGCCAGCAGGGTCGGTCCTCCGAGCCTCTCGCTTCGCCTAACAGCTTCGGCAGTAGCTTCGGCGGCGGGTTCGGCAGCAGCTTCGGCAGCAGTGGAAGCAGCAGCAGCACCGGAGGGGGGATGGGAGGGTTGGGTTCTGGTGGTGGTGGGGGGGGAGGAGCAGGGGGAGGTGTGGGGGTGAGAGGGCGAACGGGGGCAGTGGTGGAATGGCAACAGCTAATGGGGTATCTGGTAAGATCCTTTTGCATGTGTCCTGGGTTCTGATGTGTGTAACGAGGTGACTTTTGAGTCGACTCAAAAGTCATCTGGTAAGATCCTGTTGCATGTCGTGTGCCATTGTAACGAGGTGACTTTTGAGTCGACTCAAAAGTCATCTGGTACGATCTTGTTGCATGTGTCCTGGTTCTGATGTGTATTGTTGTGATGGGGGAGGCGTGGAGGAGGGAGAGGTGGGGGAAGGGGGGGGGGGGGGGGGGGGGAAATGAGGGTTTGAAGTTTTTTTGAGAATTCTCCAAAGTGACTCGAATGAGGTGAGCATTGAGTCGACTCAAAACACACCCAGATTCACAGCCTTTCTCCCTTGCATTGCACCGCCATCCCTCCTTCTGCCCATTTCCTCCACCATCTCCACCCACCCTACCACCAGTATGCATCAGGCGAAATCTCCTCCATCCTCGTGTGGGACCTAGACAGGGAGCTGCTGGCGCACACATTCAATTGCTGGTGCTCTTTTCTTGTGCTCCCTCCCTTCATCCCTCACATCACTCCATGCCCCATCCACCCCTCCCTCCTTCTCACCAGTACGCTTCGGGCGAAATCTCCTCCATCCTCGTGTGGGACCTAGACAGGGAGCTGCTGGCACACAGCGTGCCCACTGAGTGTGACTCTGCTGTCACTGCACTGGTGAGTGCTGCATTTGGTGCTGCTGCCGTGATAGGTGTTGTGATTCCACATCTTGAATGAAACAAGGTGCTTTGCCTATCATAAGCACACTATCATAAGAACATGCACCTGCTGCTTCTACACCAGAAGCTGCTGGAGCCCAGTTTTGAGATGTCTCAAAAGCCACCAGAAGCTGCTGGAGCCCAGTTTTGAGATGTCTCAAAAGCCACCAGAAGCTGCTGGAGCCCAGTTTTGAGATGTCTCAAAAGCCACCAGAAGCTGCTGGAGCCCAGTTTTGAGATGTCTCAAAAGCCACCAGAAGCTGCTGGAGCACAGTTTTGAGATGTCTCAAAAGCCACCAGAAGCTGCTGGAGCCCAGTTTTGAGATGTCTCAAAAGCCACCAGAAGCTGCTGGAGCCCAGTTTTGAGATGTCTCAAAAGCCACCAGAAGCTGCTGGAGCACAGTGTGCCTCGTGCGTGATTGCGGTTCTGCCATTACCACTTCCGTCTTCACCCCACTCTTATCCTTTCTGCCTCCCTCTACCTGACTCTCCCGTCCCACTCATCATCCGTCATCCAGCCAAGCTACGTGGCAGCGGGGTGTGATGATGGCTCTGTGTGCCAACTTTGTTGCGTCTCCTTGCTTTTTCCCCACCCGCCTCCCTCCTCTCCCCCCCTCCCCCCTCCTCCACTCCTCCCCTCCTCCCCTCCTCCCTTCCTCCCCTCCTCCCCTCCCCCCTCCTCCCCTCCTCCCTGCCTCCCCTCCTCCCCCCCTCGTTCCTCCTCCCTTCCTCCCCGTCCCAGTCATCATCCGTCGTCCAGCCAAGCTACGTGGCAGCGGGGTGACGACACCTCTGTTCGGTTGCTTCGCTTCAATTCACTTTTTTCCACACCTTCCTTTCCCCCCCCCCCCCCCCCTCTCTCCTCCCCCCTCCTCCCCTCCTCCCCATCCCAGGGATCATCTGTTGTCCAGCCAAGCTACGTGGCAGCGGGGTGTGACGATGGCTCTGTTCGGCTATTTGACATTCGCTCGCAACCCCGGGCGCAGTGAGTGCAGTGTGATTGTGTGCGGTTCTAGGTGGTTCTGTGCGGCTCTGTGTGGCTCTGTGCAGTTGTGTGCGGCTATTTGACATTCGCTCACAGCCCCGGGCGCAGCGAGTGCAATGCGTGATGTGTGACTTGTGCGGTACTACGTGGTTCTAGGTGGTTCTGTGTGGCTCTATGCGGTTCTTCGACATTCGCTCGCAGACCCGCCCCGGCTCAGTGAGTCCTGTAAGATGTGCAATGCGCAATGTGTGTTTTTGTGTAATGTAAGTAGTTGTGGTGGGCTCTGTGCGGTTCTAAGCGGCTCCGTGCGGCTCTTTGACATTGACGTGGGCTTTGTGGCACAGCCCTGGGCACAGCGATTGCAGCCCGGTGGTAGAGTTGCCTGTAAAGCTTGACGTGTGTTCGTTGTCAATATTGACCGATGTGCACTTTGCCTACCTGCCTCCCCACGCCCCTCTCCCCGTTCAGGCTCGTGTGCGGCACGCACCACCACTCGCATAGGGTCGCGGGAATTGCATTCCACCCCGCCAGCACTTCCGCACCTCAAGTACGTCATCTTATCAGCAACCGTGTCAAAAGCAGTTCATCTTTAGTCATTTCCCCTCTGATGCATCCTGTGCGGTTTAAACACTCTTGCTTTGAGCGATTTAGTTACTCGCTTACTGTCCACATATTCTTGTTACCCCCCTTACATAGCCGCTCGAATCGACGTTTTTTTCGCATTCCTAATAAATAACTTGCCACATATAATGGTTGTCACGTTTTTTTTTTTTTTTGCGTTCAGATTATCTCTGCGTCAAGTTCTGGCGAGATTGTATTTTTAGATGCCCGAAATCCGGGGCAGCCAATTAGAAGAGTGGAGGCGCATAAGGGGCACCTCACAGCGCTCTCGGTTCACCGGCACCTGCCTGTCATGGCCACGGGCAGCTCGAAACAATTAATCAGAGTGAGTAACGTCATTTGCTGTAGTGCTTCTTGTGATATGCGTCGGAATTTGGCTGCAAACTCAACCGAAAAACCTGAAATTCATTGGTTCTTGTTTCGATCTCAAGATAAACAACAAATTCTTTGTACACATCGAGCATAATCCCTCTTACTCTCCCCTCTCCGTCCCCCCACAGGTGTTCAACATGTCTAGGGATCTCTTGAGTGTTGTCCGCTGCCACAACAAGGGTTGTTTGTTTTGCTCGCCGTTGTTACCCCTCTCCCCATACCACCCCTTTTCCCCCCTTCCCCACAGGTGTTCAACATGTCTGGGGACCTATTGAGTGTCGTGCGTTACCACAACAGTTTCCTGGGTCAGCGCATCGGCCCCGTCAGTGCGCTGCACTTCCACCCGTACCGACCCCTCCTGGCCGCGGGTGCCACTGACTCCATTGTTTCCATCTATGCGGGGGAGACACACCGCAGCTAGCAGAGGGGTGCAGAGGGGTGTGGTGGTGTGGGGGGTGAGTTCGCTGCGTTTCCACCCATACAAGCCTCTCCTTGCCGCCGGTGCCACTGACTCCATTGCCTCCATCTATGGCGGGGAGACACACTGCAGCTAGCAGAGGGGTGCAGAGGGGTGCGGAGGTGTGAGGTGTCAGCGCACTACTTTAACCCGTACATGCCGCTGCTGGCTGCCGGTGCCACCGATTAAAATGTTTCCATCTATGCTGGGGAAATGCATTGGAGCTAGTTGGGGGAGAGAGCCAGATGAGTTAGCAGGGGGTTGCAGAGGTGCGGAGGGGTGCAGAGGGTTGCAGAGGTGTGGCGGCGAAGCAGGGGGCATTGACTCCATTGTCTCCATCTATGCGGGGGAGACACACCGGGAGTTCTCCGTTGCAAGCAAAATAGGAATGTCTCATTATGCTGAGTGAAATGGAGTGGGAGTGGGAGGTGGGAAGATGAAAGAATCGGAGGAAGGTTGAGAGGTAGATGGTCAGGTTGAGAGTTGTGGAGCAGAGAGTATCAGGTGAAGAATCTACGGGCAGTGATTTAGGCAGGTAATGAGGTTACGGTACCATGTAGAAAATTAGCTGCCAGGAGGAGAGAAGCTGCTTGTGTTTCCACCTGTACAGGCTTTTGTGCTTCTTGCCATAGTTACCAAGTTTGTTCACTTCACCTCTGATGAAGATAGCGAAGCTGATTTTTTTTTGGGTGATAGCAGGCGGGGGACTCAGATGGTAAGCTGATGGTGTGGTGGTGGTGGGTTGAAACAGCAGAGCTGTGTGTGCTGCAAGTAGGTAATACCGTATTAGACGGTAACAGTTCTGTTTAAAACCGGGGTGCACATTCAGCTGAATGTGCATCAAAGGTTATCCCTTGACTGAGTGGGTTACGAGGTGTGCTTTCAACCCCTTCAAGTCGAAATTCGTTTCCCCCCTCCCCCGCAATTTCGTTTCCCCACGCCCCCGCAATTTCATTTCCCCCTCCCCGTCGAAATTCGTTTCCCCCCTCCCCCGCAATTTTGTTTCCCCCCTCCCCCGCAATTTCGTTTCCCCCCCCTCCCGCCAATCTGTTTCATCCCTCCCGCCATTCGGTTTCACCCACTCCCGCCATTTCACCCCCTCCCGCCACCTACGAAATGCCCGAAGCTCTAGCGGAATCATTTTTTTTGTCGCCCCTCGTGAGCCAATCACTGTTTTTCTCCAAACCCCCTTCCCAACATCTCAAGCCGAACCGCGTTGAATGTGCACCCTGGTTTTAATCTGGTAATGCATGTCATTCCTTTTCCCTCAACACCTAAACATTGTTGCAATGTCTTTTCCTAACGAAGGTACATATGAGCTTGTCGCCAAAGCCATTGAGCGAATTGCATTGTGGAGTGTCATTCTTCGAGCCGTTGGATCTCCAACTCTGGCAGTGGATACTGTGGATTTCAATATTCCAATTTGTTGTGCCCAGCCCTGGCAAATGGCAGGGTGACCTTCGGAGAACCCCGTTTTGCCCGTAAACCCCGAACCCTCGGCAGGGTGGTGCCAAAAGGAGCATAATACGGGCAGAATGTAGGTTTCACTCTGAAAATAAAGCTAATCGTGTGAGACACCCTGCAAGATTGAGCACGATAAAGCTGAGTCAAACGATTATACTTCACGACAGCAATTGCATCTGCAATAGTTTGTCTCGTGTGCGAAGGAGCGCAAGCAACTTCCAGTGGCCAGTCTGGGATTCGGGATTCCAATCATGACGTTCAGCATTCACGGGCCAGCGCGAGTTTGTTTCTAGGCTTTTTTGTCGAATGTGGATGCATCACCTCAAAGGTTCATACGAGCCCTGTCGGAAAAACACGGGCGAATCCGCGACCGCTTCCGCGTGCTCGCGGAAGCGAGCTGCCCGCGAGCAAGAAAAAAACGAAAACCCATCCGGAAGGCATGCGGCTCGGGAGCATCAACCCTAAAATTTTAGGGTTGATCCTCCCGAACGGCATGCCGGTCGCGATGGGGAATAGTTTTTTTTGCCCCGGGCAGAAGGCTTCCGCCGGCTCCGCGTCCTGGTGGATTCGACTTCCACCAGGAGAGGGACCTGGTGGGTTTGCGCCCACCAGGGCCCGAAGGAACTCGCGTGAAGCACTCACCTCCAGGTGCCTGATTCCTGGACCTGAGGCCACAGAAACATGACAGACCTCAATTCCCTCAATCTCCCCTCGCACGCTCCAAGACAGCTTGCTCGATCGAACGGAACTGATCTCCCAGACTCATCTCCAAGCTTGCTTCGCTTGCTCGTTTCGTAGATGCCAGCACTCTCGTCCTTATCTGGCGTGTGGTTTGGACTGCAAGGGGCCCAGAGAACGGGAAAACACCTCTCGCCCAGACGAATGCGTCGGTTTATAGGGTGTAATGCAGGGCGCGCTGCACTTCTATTTTTTTATTCGAAAATGCTGAAGAAGATCGATCCAAATCCGAAATTTTGGTGATTTCGGGTTACTGTGCGTTTGGCGTTTACTCAACTGGATTTTGTCTTGACTGAACAGTGTTACTGTTCGAGACGTGCACCATGCTCGTGTTTTGCATGCGAACTTGAACGCCATAGCGCCCCAAACGCGGGCAAACGATACTGCAGTACCTCGTCAAATGCTCGAACTTGACAGGGAAGTGCACCACCCCAAAAGGAGAACTCCAGTTGCGGAAAAAAACGAAGATTAGCGACGGTAATAGAATAATTACGATGCCTAGACGAAATGATATGATTGGCTATGCGACGTCTACAGTGTACGTACGACCTCATTTTGGTCGCATGGTTGGTAGGAGTTCGGGTTCCCCAAAAAACCAGTCTTGGTGCACCTGACAAAGGGTGCCGATATTCTGTGTTTTTGCATGTTCAAGTTCGAAAACACTGAAACGCGTGCAAGTTCGCCCAAAACCCGCTCCAAAGAGAGTGCAGCGCGTCCTAAAGCTTTGCCTAAGCTCGTGTCCGTAGGGTTGACATGTCAAGTGAGAGCGTGTCAACCCGAAGCGCATTCAAATTAGAGTGTCAAGAATTGTAGTGAAAGTGTCAAGTCGAATTTCATTGGTTTGAGAGTTTGTCATGGCTAGATCTGCTAGGCAACGAACAATTCAAAAGACTTATTGTGTGCTGATTGGGCAGCATCTGGTCGTGAGATAGGTACCTGCGACAATCTTTTCTCGTTTGTAGGTTTGTCTGTGCCAATTTCAAAAGTGTCCGACGATTTTTATTGGCTGGCAACCTGCAATTTCTTGACACTCTGCTAACAATGTTGGCAGAGTGTCAAAATGCCAAGTTGACACTGCCCACTTTGACATGTCATCCCTACGGACACGACCTAAAGTCTCCTCGAGGTCCTCATGGTTCTCGGGGAGGATCACGAAAGCATGATTCGCAAAATACCCTACTCAACCACTCTAAAATCTGAAAGACCAATCTACAAATGTTCTCGTTTATAGTCTGACGGATCAACATCGCCGCGCGCGGACTATGTGGCAAAACTTTCAAACCCCAGGCAAAACGCAATACTTTTAGTCCCGTTCAAGAAAATTGCATGAAGAGTGGTTGTTTTGCTACTAGTTTATGGAGTTCGGCATTTACGTAGATTTGGACCGCGCTTGCTTCAACTTCCAGTCGCACGGTTTTCCAAGCTGATCAATGTCGCATGACTAACGGTCAAAACAAAACAGAATAGTAACCCAAAAACTTATTTTCTACCTAGTAAGCGAGATAAACGAGATGTCATCATCGATCGCGCTGGAGACAGCGCGACCGGATTGAGTTCGTGTCCGTGGGGATGACATGTCAACATGGCAGTGTCAACACGAAGCGCGCGGAATTTAGAGTCTCAAGCACTGTAGTTTCAGTGTCAAAACGAAACGCACCACAAAATCCTGCGACGCAACCTTATTGGTTGGGCACGAATTTGTTGCAAGACCTTGCAGTCTTACAAAACTTTACATCCACACGCGACTTCTTGCAAGACCTTGCAGTCGTACAGGACTTTACATCCGTTGATTGGGCAGGTGTGGGTAGAAAAGATTGTCGAACCTACCAGTTAAGTTGGTTGGATGGAGGAACACGATTTGCAGAGCGAGATGTCCGACTAAATTTACTGGCTGGCAGTTTTCATGTCGTTGACACCCTCCCAACAATGTTGGCAAGTGTCAAAACCAGAAGTTGACACTCACAAGCTTGACATGTCATCCCTACGGACACGACCTGAGAAGTATTCGCGGTCAATAGAAACAACTACTTACAATTTAATAGTTAAAATATCAAATCGATGATCCCTTCTTCATTGTTTTCCATGAATGGTGGGCTGGTTTGATCTGGAGCCTCTGATTGGCTGCGGAGTTGATTCGTGCGATGATTCGGTCAAGCTGCCAAATTTCCCGCCAAAAACGGGACTATAGGAGTCGGGCCAACCCTAGGCGATATCGGAAAATTCTACTCAGGGGGGGAAAGAGACTCTCGCAGCGAGGGCATCTAAACCGGAACATTTGTATCAAGCATGTGCTGTGCTGCCCAAGAATGCTTCGCCAGGTGTCCAGGAAGGCTACAGTTCCCTCATGATTCTTCCATGGATTGGCTGCTTTTGTGCGCGTCCAAAATACGACAGCTGTCGCTTGAAATCTGTGAACCTGTCAAAATCTGGTCCAAGAACACGCCTGCGGCTTGCTCCGAGCGAAGCCATTGAAAAAAGAGGAAAGTGGCGGTGCACGCAGCTCTCCCGCAGCAACGCAACCACAAGTCATAGTGAGACCTTTGAAGACGCGGTAAGAGTAGAGAAACGATCGTCAGTCGCGATCAATGTGAGGATGTAACCATGCTACAAAACGCTTTTTGGCCAAAATTTCCGTCAAGTGTGTGAATGCGACTGATCACTGATCCCAGGAGATCTGTCAATTGTCAGGTACGATCGTTACAACATCGGGGTCGTCACGTTTCGCCAATCGATCTGCCCACTCGATTGTGGGGCTCGAGAATGCAGACGATCCTGCGATATTTGCACTTTCACCGCGTCCTGAGCTACCCAACAAATGACAGCATTCGTGCTTGTGTTCCTTCCTAGCAGCGCCTCAAATCCCGCCATCTCGACCACCCACGTCTGGCTGGACCCATCCTCAGGCAATGCTGCATCATTTCTCTCATCATCGCTCCCACACGTAGGTCATATCTCATCCTCATCCATCCTCTTTCACGTTTCACTCTGAAGAGTGTGTCTCTACGTCAAGCACTGCCTACACGCTGAACGCTCAAGCCAATAACTGGCTCTTCAGGCATTCCTGACTGCTCCTAGCCGCAGTAACTGATCGCAGTATCAGGGAAAACGCCACTGGTGTGACGCGCGCTCAATATTCTCAGAACCGCGAAGACAAATAATCCCGTCGCCGCGAATACATATTATCACTATTACTACGATGGCATCCTCCGACTTTCAGCGGATCCCGTTGCATGATCCCCGGCGCTGCCGTTCACAAGATTTCGCCGAATGCGCTACGGGATCTGCTTTCTCGCTCTCCCCGCGAGATCTGCTCCCTCCGCAAAGGTCTCCTTCCGCGCACTTTCCGCATCCACCGCATGTCCCACGCTCCCCGCTTTCCCCGCTGGCAAACCCAACGCCTCGCAGCCAATCCTGCCCGATTGACCAATCAGATCCTGTCTACGTGCAACACAAGGCGCTCACGCGCAGCGCCAGTGCCACCGCGCTGCCGCATTCAGGCGTGGAACAACTTTCCCGCCGCACCGGCGACTTTCCCCATGGCGCAACTGCCGCCGCACTCCCCCTGCCTCCGCTCGAATGCGCATCGGCGCAGGCTTCCGCGGGATTTTCGCCGTCCGCGGACAAAATGCGCGGGGGCGCTTGCGCACCGCAGGCGACTCGGTCGTGCTCCTCGCGAATACTATCTTCCACCATAAGCGGCAGCGGAAGCGACGGCGGCAGGGACGGCGCCCAACTCGGCGGTCACGCTTGCGGGGGAGAGCCGCGGAGCTTGCGACAATCTGCGCGCACATTCGATCCCTCGGTATTGCCGCGCCTGTCGCAGTGGAGAGCACGCACCTGCTTTGAAGCTGAGCGCCCATTCGTTGCGGAAAATTTCGGCCTTTCCCCAACGGTACTGATCAACGGCCAGCCCGCTTCCCCCGCGTTCGCGCTCCCCCCGCCCCCGCTTACGGAATCACCCGCCGTTTCCGCGCCCAACACGCCGAAAGTGCCCAACCCGCCTGCCGTTGCGGCAACTCCGAGGGCCTCTGCGATGGAAAGCCCCAGCCAATCAGCAACAAGACCCAACCCAGTACAAGCCACGCAGCAGCAGCAGCAGCAGCTGAGCGGTCGAACGGCTCGGAACGTCCCGGTACCAGTTTCCCCGCTGAATCGACAAATAAAGGTGTCGTGTGAAGCACGACCTCCGACGCCGCGACCTCCCACTTTCATTGGGAATGTCGCGATCCGGTCGTGAATCGTGGTGAATGTCGCGATCCGGTCGTGAATCGTGGTGAATGTCGCGATCCGATCAGTTCTTTCGCAGCAGAAGCAGTTTTGTACGACCTCCGCGGAGTCCGCGCGCGACCTCCCACTTCCCCCCAGGAATCGTGGCTCTGCTTTGGATGCTGTTCCGCTCATTTTTTCCACCACAATAACCACCTTGAAGATAAGCGAACATTTTTACGCAGTAGCAGCATTTGCTGTGTTTCCTCTATCTCAAGGTTTAGGGAATCATACAAGATCACAGGTGGTTTTGTGGCTGCTTGTGTGTTACAGGATGTTACGTCGTTTTCTACACTGTTGTGTGTAGACTCAGCCCTCAATGTATTATGTATAATCTGGCCTACACCACTGTGACTTCTCTTGCTTGGAAAACTACACCCTCTCTGTCACCCCACTCTAGTTTTGTTCGAAGGTACCAGTAATACTGGTAATCCACAGGCCAGGATGCTAGGGCCTATAAAATGAGAGCAAACATTATATCAGCTAAATCAACTGGTGGGGCTGTGAGGCCAATGAGAAGACAGCATTGAGGTTCCACCTGAGAGGAGTTGAGTTGATCCAGCCAATCAGTACAAGCCGTTGACCTTCCACCAGAAGGCGCAAACTGCGATCCAAATGGCAAAGTTTACCGCTGCTGTGATGGCCCCAAACTTGAACACGTCAGGCAGGTCGATGTAACCAGCTGCAGAACATAGAGGGACGGAAAAGAGTAATAAGAGTAATAAACGCAGTTGCAGAACACAGAGAGGGAGGGAAGATAGAATGGAGGGAGGAGAGAGAGGGAGGGGGAGGGGGGGGGGAGAGAATTTACAGAGCCGCTTATGGGCAGGTGTTATGTCCATAAAGTCCATAAAGCCGGTATGAGCTGAACATAAAGTCTACATACTTGTAGGCAGCTTTATAGTACAAAACACATCATACCCGTTGTAAGCTGACCTGCATACTACAGCACAGCCTGCCCACTGCTTTAGCCCGTGATGGACCCAAACATACCCGTTATAGTCAAACTCACCTCCATAGTACAACGCAGCCTGCCCGCTGCTGTAGTGGGTGATGGACCCAAACAGGTTCGTGTTAAGAGCGAGAGCCAATGCCGCGAGGACACCTGGCACGCCTGCCGCCAGCTGCATTGCCAGGAACGCCGAATAGAGAGCGCCCACATGGCCAGTTTGGCTGGCGAAGAGGTAGTGCGAGCCAAAGTACATGGCCTGGGGGAATGCAGGAATGGGGAAACGGGGGAAGGGGATTCAGGGTTAGGTTGAGGTCAGGTTTGCTGGCATGTGGAATAGAGAGCGCCCACGCGGCCGGTTTGGCTGGCAAAGAGGTGCGCGAGCCGAAATACATGGCCTGCGGGAACATGGGAATGGGGAAATGGGGAAAAAGAGTGTAGGGCTTATGGTGGGATGAGGCTTGCAGGCACGAGGAGTAGAGAGAGAGCGACCACGTGCCCGGTTTGGCTGGCAAAGCGGTAGTGCGAGCCGAAATACATGGCCGGCAGAAATGGGGGGGGGGGGCAGGGAGAAAGGGGTTTGGGTGGGATGAGGCTTGCAGGCCCATGTGGCCGGTTTGGGTGGCAAGAGGTAGTGCGAGCCAACGTACATGACCTGGAGGGAAAGGGAAAGAGGGTAAGTAGGGGTGAAGGTATCTGAAGAAAGAGAAACACCAACAACAGAGAGACAGACAGACTACGCACCTGAATCTCGAAGAAGTTCCCAACCCACACTCCTCCTGCGCCAGTCAAACCTGCTGCCACATTATCGGCCACCCACTGCACGATGCCCATGGCGTTGAGCTGCGCTGACATGCCGATGAGACAAAGCGACACAGCAAGCTACAGAGAGGTAGACTCCCACGCACCTGTAGCTTAAAGAAGTTGCCAACCCAGGCACCACCCGCTCCTGTCAACCCAGCAGCAACATTATCAGCCATCCACTGCACGATGCCCATGGCGTTGAGCTGCGCTGACATGCCGATGAGCACCGCGAACCATGCCAGTGTGTCCCATGCTGACTTCTCTGCGAGGCAATCGTTCCACGAGAGCACTCCCGAGAGGAGCAAAACGCAGAGAGCGATCATTGCTGCTACCACGCTGGGGATGCCGATAGAGTCTCTGGTGAGGGGGTAGAGTGGGGGAGAACAGGGAGGGAGGGGGGGGGCGAAGGGGAAGATGATGGGGGAAGTAGAGGAGGTGGGGGGAGAGTGAGAATGGAATGAGCTGCGCTGACATGCCGATGAGCACCGCGAACCATGCCAGTGTGTCCCATGCTGACTTCTCTGCGAGGCAATCGTTCCACGAGAGCACTCCCGAGAGCAGCAGCACACAGAGCGCTATCATCGCTGCTACCACGCTCGGGATACCGATTGCGTCTCTGCGATAAGAGGGGAACGGAAGGGAAAGAGGGGAAGGAGGGCCGGGACGGGGAGGGAAAGAGGGGAAGGAGGGCCGGGACGGGGAGGGAAAGAAGGACGAGATAAGCACCGCGAACCATGCTGGTACTTGCGCCCTTCAAACCATGAGTGACCACGCTAGCGTGTCCCATGCTGACTTTTCTGCGAGACAGTCGTTCCACGAGAGCACTCCCGAGAGCAGCAGCACGCAGAGGGCGACCATCGTTGCGACCACACTCGGGATGCCGATGGCGTCTTGTTTTGAGTTGACTCAAAACACGTCTCTGGGAAGGGAGGAGAGCAGGGGAGTGGAGGGGGCGAGAGGGGGAGAGATGGGAAGGAGGGGAGGGAAGGGGAGGGGGAGGCGGTAGAGAACGGGAAAAGAGGGGGGGTGGGTTGGTGCCTCATATAACACCCAGCCTCCTCCATACCACAGATAACACCTTTATGAAGGCAACTCTACGCCCAGGTGAAAAAAACGTACCCGAGCACCCAGAGGGACACGGCGAGCAGCATGGTGCCAACCATAATGAGCTCGTTGGGCGTGGCCGCTTTTTAGTCTACTCAAAAGCACACCCATAACGAGCTCGTTGGGCGTGACAGGGCCCATTCCCTTTAGCTTCACCTCTGCCAGCCCAGGCGCCTCAGATAACAACACCCACTCCCCCCATACTGCAGATAACACCTCCCCTACCCCAGCACACGCTGAAACGTACCCGAGCACCCAGAGGGACACGGCGAGCAGCATGGTGCCAACCATAATGAGCTCGTTGGGCGTGACAGGCCCCATCTCCTTCAGCTTCACCTCTGCCAGCCCGGGCGCCTCAGGAGTGGCCTTGAGCTCGGGCGGGTAGAGGGTGAAGAGGAGGAGCGGGGTCACGAGGAGGCCGATGAGACCTGGAAAGGAGGAAAGGGGGTGCAGGAAAGAGGGCGGGGACAGGCAACGGAGCAAGGGGGACGCAAAGGCGTGGCCTTGAGCTCGGGCGGGCAGAGGGAGAAGAGGAGGAGCGGGGTGACCAGCAGGCTGATCGGACCTGCACGGGAGGAAGGGAAAACAGGCAGAGGGGTTGCAAGGGAAACATGCCACATGTGCATTAGATTAAAGTTTTGAGGCGCCTCAAGACTCCCCGAGCCGCATCACCCTGAGTTTCACCTCTGCCAGCCTGGGTGCATCGGGAGTGGCCTTGAGCTCGGGCGGGAAGAGGGTGAAGAGGAGGAGAGGCGTCACGAGGTGACTGATGAGACCTGGAAAGGGAAGGAGGGATGAAGAGGAGGGAGGGTGTGGGGAGGGTGTGGGGAGGATGTGGGGAGGGTGTGGGTAGTTGGTGAGGAGGAGCGGGGAGAGCAGAAGGTTGTGTGAACGTGGTCTAACCGGGAAAGAGGGGGTAGGTTAGAACGTACCTGGGAGGGTAGGGCGTACCTTGTGGGGTTATACAGTACCTGGGAGGGCTGTTAGCTTGAACGTGTGGCCCACACATTGGGGATGATCCTGAGCCAGCTTGATACACCGCAGGTTGGTTCTGACCCAATGGGAATGGGCAGGTTCTATCTGGGGCAGGGCGTACCTGAGAAAGTAGAGCGTACCTGGGAGGGCTGCTAGCTTGAACCACGTGGCCCACACGTTGGGAATTATCACCCCCAGCTCCTGCGCCAGCTTGATGCACAGCAGGTTCTGCGCGCCTCCTGTCAGGTACATGGCGCTGGCGTTGGCGGAGGCCTGGGGAGGGCGAGGAGGGGGTGAAGAGGGGGAGGAGGGGAGAAGAGAGGGAGGAGGGGGAGAGGAGGGGAGAAGACGGAGAGTACAGACTTCTCAGTAAGGAGAGACACGGACGGTTGGATGCACAGCAGGTTCTGCACGCCTCCTGTCAGGTACATGGCGCTGGCGTTGGCGGAGGCCTGGGGAGCGGGGGCGGGATGGGGAAGGGGGAAAAGGGAGAGTGAGCCAGCTTGATGCACAGCAGGTTCTGCGCGCCTCCTGTCAGGTACACGGCGCTGGCGTTGGCGGAGGCCTGGGGAAAGAGGCAAAAGGGCAAGACGAGGAGGGGGGGGGGGGGGGGGGGGGGGGGGGGGTGCAGGGAAGGTGGGGTGGAAAAGAGTGGAATATGGAGAGTCAACGGCAGTTTGATGCACAGCAGGTTCTGCGCCCCTCCTGTGAGATACATGGCGCTGGCGTTGGCGGAGACCTGGGGAGGGAGCGGAAAAAAAAAAAAAAAAAAAAGTGGGGGAGGTGGTTTGGGGAGGGGAAGGGGAAGAGTGGATTATGGAGAGAGGAGGGCAGCAAAGCAGCAGAGCAGATTCTGCGCTCCTGTCAGGTACATGGCGCTAGCGTTGGCAGAGGCCTGGGGTGAGGGGCGAGTTGGGGTGGAGGGGGGGAAGGGCAGGAGAGGAAGATTGGAATCAGGAAAGACATGGATGGCTTGACGAGTGGCAGGCAGGGTCTGCGCTGCGCCCCTTTTGATATCATTAATAAGTAATTCAAACAGGTTCTGCGCCGCTCCCATCAGGTACATAGCATGGCATTAACGTTGGCAGAGGCTTGGGAAAGGGCCCGTGGGCAGATGAAACCCGGCCTGAGGTGAATCAGCTATGGGGAGAGGTCTAATGGAAAGGGTGTCAACTAGGGAAGGTTTCAACTGCTGATATTTCCTTTTGAACACTACTCACCTGGAACTGAGACATGATGAGGAACCGTCCCAGCTTCTTGGAGCTGGGGTCGTTGGGTAGGCTGTTGACTGAGCTGACAGCTCAGTCTAAAGAGAATCAACCAGAGGGGAGGTGTCAACGTGGGGAGGTTTCACTCACTAGTCCTTTACTCACTTTTGAACACTACTCACCTGGAACTGAGACATGATGAGGAACCGTCCCAGCTTCTTGGAGCTGGGGTCGTTGGGCAGGCTGCTGAAGGTCAGTCTACCAGGGATGGCTACAGTTGGCTACAGTTGGCTACAGTTGGCTACAGTTGGCTACAGTTGGCTACAGTTGGCTACAGTTGGCTACAGTTGGCTACAGTTGGCTACAGTTGGCTACAGTTGGCTACAGTTGGCTACAGTTGGCTACAGTTGGCTACAGTTGGCTACAGTTGGCTACAGTTGGCTACAGTTGGCTACAGTTGGCTACAGTTGGCTACAGTTGGCTACAGTTGGCTACAGTTGGCTACAGTTGGCTACAGTTGGCTACAGTTGGCTACAGTTGGCTACAGTTGGCTACAGTTGGCTACAGTTGGCTACAGTTGGCTACAGTTGGCTACAGTTGGCTACAGTTGGCTACAGTTGGCTACAGTTGGCTACAGTTGGCTACAGTTGGCTACAGTTGGCTACAGTTGGCTACAGTTGGCTACAGTTGGCTACAGTTGGCTACAGTTGGCTACAGTTGGCTACAGTTGGCTACAGTTGGCTACAGTTGGCTACAGTTGGCTACAGTTGGCTACAGTTGGCTACAGTTGGCTACAGTTGGCTACAGTTGGCTACAGTTGGCTACAGTTGGCTACAGTCGGCTACAGTTAGAACATCGCACCTGGAATTGAGACATGATGCGGAAATGGCCCAGCTTCTTGGAGCTGGGGTCGTTGGGCAGGCTGTTGAAGCTCAGCTTACCAGTGTATGGTTGAGCTTCTTGGAGTGGGGTTGGTCATTTCAGACAGAATATCTCACCTGGAACTGAGACATGATGAGGAACCTTCCTAGCTTCTTGGAGCTGGGGTCGTTGGGCAGGCTGTTGAAGCTGCGCGCCAAGCTGCTGATGATGGGCAGGAAGACACCTCCCGCTCGTGCCGTGGTGCTGGGCATGGTGGGCGAGATGAGGGCCTCCGATACTGGAAGGGAGGAGAGGAGGGAGAGGGTGGGGGGAAGGGAGAGGAAAGGAATTGGGGAAAGGGGAGGGAGGAGGGGTGACTTGAAGGAGAGGCGCTACGCATGGTGGGGGAGTTGAGCGCCTCAAAGACTGGAAGGAGGGTGGCGTAAGGGGAAGGTGGGAAATGGGGGATGGGGGGGAAAGGGAGGGGGGCTGTGGGGTGTGGTCTCAGTTGACTCGAACGGGTGTGGGTCTGGGAGCACTCTGGGTTGAACCCCCCAATTCCCCAGACCCAGTCCCAGACCCAGTCACTCTGGGTACGTAGCCCAGTCCCAGTCCCAGACCCAGCATTCTCTTGCTGAACCACTTGACAAAGTAGGTCGCCACGCGGTCCCCCAGGCCCGTCTTGACACACGCACACGCCCAGAGCCCCACCCCTCCTCTTCCCCCCTCTTCTTTCCCCCCACGCACGCACCTGCCAGCCCATAGCTGAGCCCCAGCGTGCACTTGCCGAACCACTTGACAAAATAGGTCGCCACGTGGTCACCCAGGCCCGTCTTGACGCACACGCGCACACCCCCCCCCCCTTCACACTCCCCCCCACACACACACCTGCCAGCCCATAGCTGAGCCCCAGCGTGCTCTTGCCAAACCACTTGACAAAATAAGTCGCCACGCGGTCGCCCAGGCCTGTCTTGACGAAGCCTCGGGCGAAGAAGAATGAGATGACGATGAGCCAGATGACCTCGTTTGTCATGGCGCTGAGGGAAGGAGGGTGGGAGGTGAGGAAGGGGGGGGATTGGAGTGGGGAGGTGGGGGGAGCACATGTGTACAACAGGGAACGGGAAACGGGGAAGGAGATGACAATGTGACAGATGGCATCGTTTGTTATGGAGCTCATTTGGAGTGGGTGGGATGGGTAGGATATTTGCAAATGTGGACTGGCAAGCAGAGGCATCCATAGGAAGGCAACGAGAGACAGCACAACAAGAACTGTGAAAAGTTGCGTTGGCAAAATTTGGTGCAGCATGGGAGGAAAAAGACTGACCTGAAGGCTGCTGCGAAGGAGAGGGTCTTAGAAAGGACGGTGAAGGTGAGGCAGACGAAGGCCCACGCGCCCACTGGGAGAGGCCTGAGGGGTGGGTGAGTGAGAGGAACGGGACGGAGGGTGGATTAAGGTTTGAATTCAAACCAGGAAAAGTAGAGAATCCGAGGAGAGGGTCTTGGCGAGAAGGGTGAAGGTACGGCAGCGGACGACCCACAAAACAATGATGGCCGACCGTTCCGCTTGCACAAAGGAAAGCAAAGCAATACTTTTCATAAAATCTCAAAACAGATTCACTTTCGCAAGGGGAGCTTGCCTTGTCTGAGTACTGACCGATCATTCTGCTTATTCGAGCACAAGACCAGTGATGGTGGAGAGGAAGATGGTCGAGTCTTGAGACGTCTCAATACGAATTGCCCAAGCACAAGACCCCTTTACTTTCTCGAGTTGCCCGTGCCGTGTGAACGGCGACCGTTATGCTTACCCGAGCACGAGACCCGTGATGGTGGAGAGGAAGATGGCGAGCAGCTGCCATGCCTGGGTGGTCACTCCCGCAGGGACTGGTGGGCGAACGACGGAGAGGGAAAGAGGGAGGGAGGGCGGGAGGGAGGGAGGGAGGGAGGGAGGGAGGGAGGGAGGGAGGGAGGGAGGGAGGGAGGGAGGGAGGGAGGGAGGGAGAGCGGGAGGGAGGGAGGGAGGGAGGGAGGGAGGGAGGGAGGGAGGGAGGGAGGGAGGGAGGGAGGGAGGGAAAGAGGGAGGGAGGGAGGGAGGGAGGGAGGGAGGGAGAGAGGGAGGGAGGGAGGGAGGGAGGGAGGGAGGGAGGGAGGGAGGGAGGGAGGGAGGGAGGGAGGGAGGGAGGGAGGGAGGGAGGGAGGGAGAGCGGGAGGAAGGGAGGGAGGGAGGGAGGGAGGGAGGGAGGGAGGGAGGGAGGGAGGGAGGGAGGGAGGGAGGGAGAGCGGGAGGGAGGGAGGGAGGGAGGGAGGGAGGGAGGGAGGGAGGGAGGGAGGGAGGGAGGGAGGGAGGGAGGGAGGGAGGGAGGGAGGGAGAGCGGGAGGGAGGGAGGGAGGGAGGGAGGGAGGGAGGGAGGGAGGGAGGGAGGGAGGGAGGGAGGGAGGGAGGGAGAGCGGGAGGGAGGGAGGGAGGGAGGGAGGGAGGGAGGGAGGGAGGGAGGGAGGGAGGGAGGGAGGGAGGGAGGGAGGGAGGGAGGGAGAGGTTAAGCCTGGCAGCAGCTGCCATGCCTGGGTGGTCACTCGGGGAGAAATTGGGGGGGAAATAAAAGTGACGAGGGAGGATAAACCAGGGCAATGCGGCATGTGGGAATGCAGCTTGCGAAAATGCAGTTTGCGAGAATGCAGCTCGCGAAAATGCAGCTGCTGCGAGGGTAAGAGCGCAAACTGCACAGCCGTGGTGTTGCCAAGACCACTAAGAAACGGCGACGGAAAAATCTTCAATAAAATCAACATTGAAGAAGAAGGCGCATTGATAACTCTGCTAAAAAAATCAACACTCGCAGATACATCGAGTCCCATTGGAATTGGGTGGTCCGGGGGTCGTGGTGTAGGGCCAATCTTATACGGCTCATTTAAAAATTTTAAGCTTTTAATTTTTCTTTCGCTGCCAATAAATCCGCACCGCCTGACGTACCTGGGACTAAGAATCGGACGGCCAGGCCAACGCCGACAGAGATGATGAACGGAATCGGCGCGGCGCCAGCCCACGTGAATTTAGGTTTCTCGCTTTCCGCAGGAGCGGGAGCGGTGGCGGAGGCGGCGGATGCGGAAACAGCCAAACGCTGCGCGGGAGAGCGCTTCGCGCTGCTTCGAGATCGCAGCCGTAGATCAGGGAGGCCCGCTGCGGGACAGAGCGCGGAGAGTTGAGTGGACGGCTTAGATGCGCTGATCGGTGCGATCGGACGGCTTAGGGATGACGTCGAAATGCTGCGTGCGGAAGCCGCTCGAACGACGGGCCTTTGCGTAAGACTGGAATGCACGACCGCATTGCGAGGGTTCACCGCATTGTGCGGGGACAGGGTGTTCGCTGCCAGTCGCACGGCTCTGGGCTGGAGCAGCAGCGACGACGCCATCAGATGAGTCTAAGAAAGTAGACGCTTTATGATTTACACAAGGTTAGGATGAAGAGCTGGGGTAATGCGGCTTGGATGGTTCTGTTCTAGTCAGTACAACTGGCCTGGTCCAGGATGGAGGAGAAGAAAGAAGAAAGTGGGGTGGAGGAAAAAAAAGATGGCTTTTGATTTGAGAGTTTGTTGCTGCGTCACAGATCAGATCGTGTTTACGAAACGAAGCAGAGCTGTGAGTGGTGCATGGCCTACGTGGATGGTGTGGTGAGTGCACATCCTCCTCCAATGGTGGCTCGCTGTGCTCCCAGGATCGCGACCTGTGGTTAAAAGAAAAAGGAGGTCGTTACGAGAAGTGCGGGAGATCCCAAGGCCGTATTCTCGAAGCTGGCAGGGGGGGCAGAGCTGCATGAATGAGTCGGGGAACGTCACTGACCTTCTAGCCTTTTTTCATGAAGTAGTCCCGTTCTGGCCTTTTTTCTCGCCAAGCTCAGCTGCGAAACGTCCACGTGAATCCGCGTTATTGTGTAGGATACTGGTCAATCTATAAGAACTTCCAGTTATAGACTCAAGTGGTGTATAATTCGTCTATCAGGACTTCATCCCTTAGATCGAAGGACAGTTGACTGCCTCACTGCTGCTGCAGAGGTTCTGACACCAAGGCGCCACAAAGTTCCCGCTAAATTTTGAAACACTGGGAGCCTGAACAGCATCACTGCTAGGCCAGCAGACCAAACCAGGCCCGATTCCTCTGCTGATGGAGAACTGAATTTCCCACCATTGATCCCAGAGCGCATCGTCATGAGCTCGGCTTTTGCTCCGTCAACAAACGGTTGCGAACGGTTCTATGCACATTGGAGCGGTTGATGCGCTAAACTGCTTCGAACAAGAACTCACCATCTGAACCTAGTGGTTCAATGCTTTCATGTCCTTGTCCCTGCGGCAATCCCAAGTTCTCTCATTCTCAACCTCTGATTTTCAGCTTTCGCTGATTCTTCTGTGGTCTTTCATTCAGTGATATGACCTAGAAGCCAGCATAGACTTCCTAGCCTAACCTGTGAAGCAGAGTAGGTTGATGTTTCATGACTAGAGCAGAACCCTCATCTGCTCATCTACAGATCGCTGTCAGGATTTCTGCAACGATAGTCTCGTGATGACATATCTAAGCCTTCTCACGTCATAAGCTCGTTGTATTACACGATAGACGAGTTGCTAGAGTACTGAAGCGGATTTTTACCAGGGTTATTTATCGATTCGTCTCTATATTCTCACCTTGAGAAGATGAGCCGGAGGAGGGGTAGAGCCCCCAAAGCGGAAGCTAGCAATGTTGCGCTTTCAGACACCCGTGACCCCGTGACAGACATACTGGTAAGTACTTGTCTCGAAGGATGTCCTTTCTTTGTATCATTTTGTTGACGCGTTTCTGTTCTTTGACGTCTACCAGTCCTCATATGCTCTTCATTCAACATTTGAACAAGTTCCATCTAATGCTCAAGATGTTTGCTTGACAATGACCTGTGTGTTTGTCGTTCACGTGTGCCTTTCGTTAGCGTGTGTTTTTCGCGAACGTGTGTCTTTCTTTGCCGTGTGCCGTTCACTGACGCGTCTCTTGCATCAACACGTGTTTTTCAGCGAGGGATCTGGAATCAAGGCCAGCATGATTCTTCAAGTCAGCAGAAGGACTGGAAAGACTGGATAAGCCTCGCCGAGAAGCATCTCAGATCGTCCACTATGCAACTGACACGTCATCAATCAACCGCCGATGTCCCACAACCCAAGCGAACCCGCAACAACAAATCATCCAGTCGCGACGACATTGAGAACCAAGATTTCTGTCTCAAATCTTCAACGGCTATTTCCTTGGCACTGCATCTTGAACAGCTGTTTCGTTACACCAAGCCAGCAAGCTCGCAGGCGTTACAGGCAACCCCAGTTGTTTCGTTACAGTTTCCAAACCCATTCCCGAGCAACGAATCTGTTAAGCGGAAAGACAGCGACGTGGTTAACGTTCTCTCCTTCACTCCCGCAGCAGCAGAAGAGGATAAGGAGAACAAGGAGAATGGCAGCCAGATCCGACGGTCAGCCCGCTCGCGATCTAAAGGCCTGGGTCCGCTTTCCCAGCCTTCCCCAGATGCGCCTCCTTCAGGGCCTCCTCCCAGCCGTCGATCTTCTTCCAGATCCCGGGGGACGAAGATCCAACGGCGGGGGACAGCTTCGCCATCCGAAGAGCTCGCGGAGAAGCTTGAGCAGGTTCAGCTGGCGTTCAAGGCTATGGACGCTAACGAGGCGAATCATAACGCGGATGGAGGAGCAATGACACGTGTCACTGATCAAGGCACTGATGTTAATGTTGACTCCCAGGGAGCTATTCCAGTGCAAGGCACGGAGAAGATGGAAGACGGAGACGGCACGGGAGATCTAGCGGGAGCAGAGGCTAAGGAAGCGGATTGTCCAGCGAAGCAGCCGAAAGGAAGAGGAAGACCACGGAAGGTGGCGAAGCCTGCTCCTGCTCGGTCCCGAACGGCTCCTGCGCCTGAAGAGGAGGAGGTCGTGGTAGCACCTGAAGCTGCTGGCGAAGCTGCTTGTACCGAGGATGCAGCAGGCGGAGATAACACGAAGGAAATGGAGGAAGTGGAGGAGGTGGAGGAAGTACAGGAGGTGGAGGAGGTTGTGGGAGACGAGAAGCAGAAAGAGGACGCAGCAGAAACTGCTATTGCCACTGACGTGGAAAGCTCGGCTGCAGCAGCAGGCAAGCGCGGAGGTGCGAGAGGACGCCGAGGCAAGAAGGCAGCAGTTTCCGAAACTGTTGACGAAGCTAGAGAAATTGTGCCAGTTGTGGAGAGGCGAGCCACTCGAGCCTCGGCCAGAGCTGCTGCTGCTGCTGGCGGTGCTGGTGCTGCTGGTGCGCCTGCTGCTGCGCAGCTGCCGCCTCTACCTCGCCGGGGACGGCCAAGGAAGGCTCAGAAGCAATCGGACGAACCAGGTGAGTGTGATTGGTTTCGTTTGGCTTACTCTTCTGATCCTTACTACGCTGCCAATTTTATGCTGGATCCCCCACTTTCAACTCGACTAAACCTGATGGTTTGCTCTCATTGACCACCTGCGCAGAGCCTGCTGAAGTTCCTCAGCCCGTCCCTGCTGAAACGACCCTGCCCGTTGATCTGGCTCCAGCGAAAGCTCCAGCAGAGAAGAGGGCGACGAGAGGCAGAAAGAGAGCAACCGGGAATGAAGCAGGCAGCAGCAGCTGCAACAGTGGCTTGGACGCAGTTGCTTTGGCTGCAGACGCACCTGTTCACGTGAGTCTTTCTCCCGAGAAGGAAGTCAAGACGGTTGTTGTGACTGTTAGCACTGGTGATGCTTTTGGAACTTCCTCCCCTGAACGTGTGGGTGGAGCATCGGCTGCTGCTGCGGCTGAGGGTGGTGGTAATGATACGACTGTTGGTGCATCCGCTGACTTGGCTCCATTGGAATCCGCTGGCCAAATGGTCGCTGACGCGGAGGGCAAGAAGGACGAGGAGGAAGTCAAGGAGGGGGAGGAAGTAAAGGAAGGCGAGGAAGGGAAGGAGGAGGAAGGAGAGGAAACGAAGGAAGTGAAGGAAGGGGAGGAAGGGAAGGAGGAGGAAGGGGAGGAAGCGAAGGAAGTGAAGGAAGGGGAGGAAGGGACTGAAGCGGACAACAGTATGGAGGTGTGTGAGGAGGTGAAAATGGTGGCAGAGGAGACTCCAGTGGAGCCTGCAGCATTTGGTGAAGTGGCGGAAGGGACAAAAGACACGCCTTGTTCTGCAGCTTCTGACGCGGATGGTGCTGTGGCAGTAGCTGCTGCTGAGGTTGGTGCTGCTGTTTCGACAGTTGCTGATGCAGACGATGCTGCAGCAACGGCTGCTGATGCTGCTGGCGAGAGGAATCTTCACGTAGCAGCTTCGGATGCTCGTGCGGATGCTGATGCTGGTACCAATGCTGATGCTAACGCTGCCGCTGATGGAATAAATCTTGTCTCGGTCGCCACTGCTGATGGCACTGAGGAAGATGGCCTTGAGGTGACAGGAGCCATTCAGCATGCAGAGCCTGAGGACCTAACCGAAGCTGCAATTGGTGAAGATGAATCCGCGACCGTGCTGCCAGTATCGGATGTTGGTGTGGAGGTGGCAGCAGCAGCCAGTCCAGGAGAGGAGCTCGGTGGCCTTGGTAAGGCAATGCGTGAAGAGGAAGCTGAGACTGCGCTGGGGGTTGAGTCTGGCAGTCCAGCTCTTGCTGACGAGAAGCAGGCAGTCGAGGGGGTTACAGAGGCGGCTGCGGTTGTTGAGGAAGGAGAAGTGGAGACTGCAGAGGAGATGCAGGAGAAGAATGATGCAAGGGTCGCAGCTTCTGACCCTGTGCAAGCACCTGAAGGGACGGTAGGCACGGAAGACATGGAAGCCGCGGAATGCCAAGCGGGTGCTGCTGAGTGTGAGGAGGGGAGGACTGCGCGTGATGCTGAGCTGGGAGTGCTACCCTCGGCAGAGTCTGGCACAGTGAATACACCACGGAGGGACGCGAGTGGCAGCTGTACTGGCGGTTATGCGGAAGCAGATGAGGGGCTCAGAGTTCCGAGGGAGGGTGTAGCGCCAGTGGAGGTTGTTGCCGGGCCAACAGAGTTTGTGGCAGGAGAGGAAGAGGAGGAGAAGGCCGAGGAAGAGGTGGACGAGAAGGAGGACGAGGAAGGGGAGGAAAAGGGAGAAGAGAAGGAGGAAGTGGAGGAGGGGGAGGAAGTGGAGGAGGGGGAGGAAGTGGAGGAGGGGGAGGAAATAGAGGAGGGGGAGGAAATAGAGGAGGGGGAGGAAATAGAGGAGGGGGAGGAAATAGAGGAGGGGGAGGATATAGAGGAGGGGGAGGAAATAGAGGAGGGGGACGAAGTGGAGGAGATGGATGCGTTGGGAAAGGAAGAGGGGAAATTGGAAGCAAGCGAGGTTGTAAGTACGGAGGTAGAAATGGGGATAGAAATGGGGATAGAGGATGATGAGCATCGCATTGAGGAAGAGGAAGTGGGTGGTGTTGCCACAGAGAGTGGCTCGCTCTCACAGTGTGTGATGGAGGAAGAAATGGTGCCGGGAGTAGATGGAGGCAAGGAGGACAGTCCTGGAAAGACAGAGTTTGCTGTACCCGGTGCTGATGCTGCTGTTCTGGGAACGCCTGAAGCTGACACCTGTTTGTTGGAATCTCCTGAACCTCAGGAGGCTGCAAGAGAGGCCTCTTCACCACAAGCGGGCTTTCCGGTGGCAGAGGGTATTGATGAGGAGACGAGGGAAGAGGGAGGACGCGGTGATGGAGAGAGTGAGGCTGAAGACATGGAGATTGAGGAGGAAGAGGGGGCGGAGGAGGAAGAGGCGGCGGAGGAGGAAGAGGGGGCAGAGGAGGAAGTGGGGGCGGAGGAGGAAGAGGGGGCGGAGGTGGAAGAGGAGGCGGAGATGGCGGCTGCAGGTACTGTGGCTGAGTGTGCCGAGGAATTGGATGCGGTGGGCGATGGTGCGCCTCAGGTGGGATCAGCCGCTTCAGAGGACTTGAACTGGACGCCAGCGCCAAAAGGCTCAGAGGTAGGTAGTCATACGGAGGTAGTAGAGGCGTCAGACGCGTCAGAAGGACCAGAGGCAGCAGAACGGCTGGAGGTAGCCAAGGCCGTAAAGAGCAGCTTGAGGTTGGTTGCCGATTCAGTTGGCACAACCGTTGCGGATGATGCATTGCTGTGTGAAGGTGACTCTGTGGTTGAGGAGGAGGGGGGGGAGGAAGAGGAGGAGGAGGAAGAGGAGGAGGACAAGGAGGAAGGGGGAAAGGAGAGGCGAGAGGAAGAGCAAACGGAGAATGAAGAGGAGGTAAGAAAGGATGCAGGGGTGGAGGAGGGGAGGGAAAAGATGGAGGAGAAGGAAGAGACGGAGGAGAAGGAAGAGACGGAGGAGCAGGAAGAAAGCGAGGAGAAGGGAACGGAAGTGAGTGATGATATGATGAAGGACGGTACAGAAAGAGCAGCACGGCGGCACAGGGACGTCACTGGGGGAGCAGAAGCGTTGCCTTCTAGGGCGCAGGGTGCGAAACCGGACGAGGTGGGATCAACCCCGAGCTTCAAGAGAGAAGAAACGAGCATTGATGGTTCTGGCTTCGATACAGAGGAGCAAACCTTCCATGGCTTTCCTATAGCCAGGGAGGAGGCAACCGTGCACGGGCTCCGGGTGCTCCGCAGCAGCAGCAGGGTAGCGGCGAGTGCAAGAAAAGCCCCTGCTGCTGCCAGCAAAGCAACGCGCAGCCGGACAAGGGGCAGAGGCAGAGGTAAGAACCCGGGCAGTACGGAGGTTGCTAGTGCTGCTGGGACTGGCAGGAGAAGGGGCCGAGGACAGACTGCGACTGATATGGTGGGAGAGGCGGGTGCTCTTACCTTCGCTGCAGCAGGAGATCTATTAGAGGAGGCGGGTGGGAACAAAGCTGATGCTGCTGTGGTGGGTGTTGAGCCATCTCAAAAGTCGCCTGATGCTGCTGCGGGACCTTCCGAGACGATTCTTAAGTCGCCGGATGCAGCTGTGGTTGAAGGACCGTGTGAGGATCCTGCGGAGATGGTGGGGATGGGAGAGACGGTGAAGGAAGCAGAGCAGGAGGCGGAGAAGGACGAGGAGGAGGAGGCGAGTCAGAGTAGTGGGAAGAAGCTGAAGGTAGGAAACAAGGAGCTGCGTGAAAAGGGGGACGGAGAGAGGTCCAAGCGTAAAGAGAAGGGGGAAGAAATGAGGTATGAGGTTGAGGAGAAGGGGACTGGTGTGGCTGTGTCAGTAAGCTGTAAGGAGAACGACGAGCCAGCGTTAAGGACCAAGGCTGAAGCTCAAATGGATAGCAAAGCTGCTGCTGACAGTGAGGATGTGAATGGTGAAGAGAAGGCAGGAGAGGCGAAGGAAGGTGCCGCAGGCAGGAGAAGATGTGTGCTGGCTCGACTTAGGGCGCAGGGCGCTGCTGCTGCTTTCGGGGGCACTGCCTTTGGCAGGGGCATGGTTGAAGGAGCGAAGAGCAGGGCGGAGGGGGATGAGATTCTGCAGCAGCTGCGAAATAACGGTAGGCTGAAGAGAGTGAAGGGGGCGGGAGGTGCGGCGGGAGGAGGTGGAGGGTTCTTGGCGGAGTTGAGAAGCGCTCTGGCGCGGCATGGCGGGAGTGAGGAGCGGGAGGAGGGGGAAGAGGCGGTGGCAGAAAGGGAGGGAGAAGGAATGGGAATGGAGAGCAAAGTAGAGGAAGAGAGGGAACCTGGGCATGACGTGGCGCAGAGCAAACGGGAAAAAGAGGTGGGAGAGGCGGTTTTGAGCGATAGGAGCTTCAGTTTGGGTAAAGGTGGTGAGGTTGAGAAGGACGAGGTTCAAGCAAGCAGGGAGAAAGCTTTTGACGAGGACAAAGAGGTGATGCTAGAGTCGGAGTCTGATGCTAATGTGGACGAGGGAGGAATGGAGGATGAGGATGAGGGAGGCAAGGAGGAAGAGGAGAGGAAGGACGCATGTGGCGACGACGTGGGGAATGCGGATGGGAGGGAAGAGGAGCTCGAGGAGGGGGCTGAGGAGGAAGTGGAGGAGGAAGAGAAAGAGGGAGAGGACGAGGAGGAAGGGGAGATAGAGTGGATGGATGGCCAGTGCGTGGTAGGTGAAGCAGATAAATGCGCAGAGGATGAAGCAGATGCTGATGAGCCATCGGACGATGTGGCAGCTGCGGATGATGGTGTGGATGACGCAGCTGATGAGGTGGATGACGCATCTGAGGAGCTGGATATTGCAGCTGATGATGTGGAAGCTGCAGGTGATGAGTTGGATTCTGCAGCTGATGACATGGATGTCATGTCTGATGACGAGGATGCAGCCAGTGAGGGACATATGTCCGAGGGCCATGATGGAAATGATGGTGATGGTGAGTGTGGTGGAGATGACAGGGATGAGGAGGAGGAAGAGGAGGAGAAGGAGGAGGAGGAGCACGTCTGTGCAGAGAGTGACGAGGTCTTGCTTCCTGCAGGAGATGATTTGCAGGAGCAAGGGCGAGACTACAATGTAGTGAGCGCCAAGGAGGAAGGAGAGACGGAAGAGGAGGAAGAGGAGGAAGAGGAGGAAGCGGAGAAACAGCAGGAAGAGGAGGAAGCGGAGAAACAGCAGGAAGAGGAGGAAGAAGGGGAGGAAGCGGAGGAACAGCAGGAGGCGGAGGAGGAAGTGGGGGAACAAGACAACGAGCAGGGTAGTGAGGCGGTAGATGAAGAATGCATCGGGCAGGTGCAAGGGGAATTTGCAGAGGAGACGAGTGGTGAAGGGGCGGCAGACATGGAGAATCAGTGTGGGTTGAAATCCGCTGTGGGTGGTACGGCTTGCAGTGATGCTTCTGCTGATGCGAGCAGGATAATCAAGGTCCCGCATACTGCTCCTGAGGCGAAGGATAATCAAGGTCTCGCAGCAGTTCCAGGGGGCTCCATTCCTAGCGAGATCAGATCCACGATGCTGAGAGCCCCAGTCAGCAGATCACTAGCTTCCACCCCCGGAATCGAGAACCCAGCCTTAGAACCAGCGATTCGTTGTGCCTCACTGGTTGGGAGCTCTGCTGCATGGACAGCACAAGCAGGGTCAGCAGCAGCAGCAGTCCCTTCTGCCGCAGCATCCAGGATTGTGGGGCAAGGAGGGAGGATCGTAGGTGCGTCTCGGATTCTGGGAGGGGGGTTGCTTACTGGTGGAGTGACAGCAGCTGTTGGTGCTGGCAATGCGTCTGGTAGCGGTTTGGGGGTCAGTGGTGGAAGGAGTGTGGTGGCTGGTGCAGGGAGCAGTGCAGCAGGAAGTGCGGGAGCAGCGGGAGCAGGGGGAGCAGCGGGAGGAGCAGCAGGTGCAACGGTGGGAGCAGCGGGAGCAGTTGTAGGGTCACGTTTTGCAACATCAACCACCTCGTTTGTGTCACTAATCATGAAAGCTCAACCAGCCCCACCCCCTCCTGCTTCGGGGAAGCAGAACGTCCAAGTGAAAGCGCTAGCAGCGGCCGAGGCAGCAAGGCTGGAAGCAGAGCAGAAGGCGGAGGAGAGGAAGCAGAGGCGGATTGCACTGGAAAAACGGCGGGAGGAGCGAGGGAAGGCAAAAGCGGAAGGAAAAGAGAGCGTTTCAGAGGCAGCACCGGGTGTGGCTGGGAGAAAGGGGCGGGAAAGAGGGGTAGCTGTTGCAGACCAACCCCCTGCAACGCCTAAAGGCTCTGGTGGGGTGCGTGTGGGGGTTACTGATGCTGCAGAAGCACGGGGAACGGGTGTTAAGACGAGATCTGGAAGGAAAGTGGAGGTGGGTTTGAGTGAGCGAGAGGGCGTGCAAGGGAAGATGCAGAAAGCGATGCAGTCTAGGAAGGAGAAGGAGGAGGAGAAGGCGAGGAGGTTGGAGGAGGCGCGGGAGAAGGAGGAGGAGGAGAGGAGGAGGAAGGAGGAGGAGCGAGCAGCGAGGAAGAGGGAGAGGGAGGAGATGGAGAGGGCGAAGGTGGAGGAGAAGAGGAGGCGGGTGGAAGAGGTGGCAAAGGCGAAAAAGGAGATGGAGGAGAAGGCGAGGCAAGAGCACATGGAGAAAGAGAGAATCAGGAAAGCCAAGGTACATTCACTCTACCCCTCTTCCTGTTCTACCCTATAATTACTCTACTTGAATCCTAATGAACCCGTATTTTTCAGGTCAGGTGGTGAAACCATTTAAGCATGAGTTGTTCTTTCCATTGTTCAACACTCCCATTGATTAACCATTTTTTGCCCTCTCTTGTGCCTGCAGTTTGTAATCATTGTGTTCCGTTTTCTCCCTGGGCCCATGTCTTACTCAACACTGGATTGGCAGGAAGAGGAAGAGAAGGCCAAGAAGGCCGCAGAGGAGGAGGCGAAGCGGCAGAAGCGGGCAGAACGGGAGAAGGAGGCGGAGAGGCGGAGGAAGGAGGAGGAGCAACAGAAGGCTGCGAAGCTGGCTGAGAAAGAAGCAGAGAGAAAGAGGCGGGAGGAGGCAGCAGAGGCAGAGAAAAGGCGGAAAGAGGAACTGGCTGTGCAGCACAGGAGGGAGCACGAGGAGATGGAGATGCGGAGGTTGCAAGAGGCCAGAAAAGGGGTAAGCTCTTTGGTCAATTCTTGTCGGAAAGGAAGCTCTTTTTCTGGTATTCTACAGCGTTGCACTTGTCCCCTGTTTGCTGACTTCTTTTCAGACCTGACATAATCATTTTTCCTGTCTCCCCTCTGGTGTTTGGTAATGGCAGGTGACTCAAGACCCAGCAGCACCACCAGCAGCAGCAGCAGCAGCAGCAGGGCAGGCTAGAAACTCCCACGCACCTTCCTATCGCCCCTCTACCTCCAACCCCTCATCTGCCGCTCCCTCCTTCACCTCCTTTCTTGTTCCAGGCAGCCGGGCACCCAAGCTCTCCGGTGTTCTTGTAGGGGGTGGGCTTGTATCGAGAGGCTCTTCTGCACAGCTGCAGGGCAACGACAACTGCATGGATGATAGGCGGAACAGTGCCAGGCCTCGTGGGGTGAACAGTGGCAATCTGGCCGGCAATTCTCGTCTCACTTCCGGAACTGCAGGGCTGCTCAGCACAGGGGTCGGTACCGTGGGCAGCAGTGGCATTAACATGGTTAGTTCCAGTTGGGAGGATGGAAAGCGCGGCGTGCGTTGGAGCGACGTGAGATCGGGCGGCACAGGAGCCATGTCGGTCGGCTCTGGATCAGGAGCGGGCGGCGGGTTTGCCATGGGGCCTCCTCCCCCCAAGTTCACAATGTGTGGAGGTATTGGAGGAGCAGGAGCAGCAGGAACAGCAGGAGGGGAGGGGATGATGTTTCGGTCTCGACTCACAGAGACTCTCACAGGGAGGGTGGGGGAGGATGGTAAAGGTCGCGATGGGGGAGGGGCGAAGAGCCTCGCCGGTTGCAGTGGTGGTGCTGCCAAGAGTCTCACGGGCGGCACGTTCATTGCCATGCCCAAGCCAAGCAGCGCCTCTTTCCTCTCAGCCACTTCCGCTGCTGGTGCTCTTACTTCTGCTGCTTCTGGTACCTCTGCTGCTGGTAGCTTCACTGCTGCTGCTGCTGCTGCTGCTGCTCCCAAGGTAGTGGTCGCTCAAGGAGGCTGGATTCGAGCTGGGGTTGGCAGCAGCAGTGGTAGTACCAGCATCGGTAAACCTTCAACTTCCACCTCTCTACTGGCCTCTGTGCCCTCCAATTCTGCCCTTTCCTCTGCACCTGCCCCTTCGTCTGCTGGTGCAGCTGCTGCCTCTGGTGCTGCTGCTGCGGCTGCTGCCTCCTCTGCTGCTGGTACTACCACCCCAGCAGCTGCTGCAGTTTCCTTCTTGCCCAGGCCTTCAGCAACCCCTCAGGCCTCCAAGAGTGTTGCTACTCTAAGGGAGTGGACCACAGAGAAGACAGGTGGTGCAGCGAAGGCAGGAGCACAAGGGACTGGAGGGAAGGTGGTAGCTGGTAGCACATCTGCTGGGCTTGGGAGTAGGATAAGAGCAGGAGGAGGTGGTTCAATGACAGCTGGAGGGGAAGCTGCTACTGCAAGTGCTGCATCGGCATCAGCAGAAGCTGCAGCAACAGCTGCAAGAGCTGGGGCGACTGGATTGAAATCCCGGATTCCTGGGTCCAGCAAAGTCAATCAAGCAGGGGCGCAGGTGGAATCGAAGCAGAGCCAGCAGAAGCAGAAGCAGCAGCAGCAGCAGCAGGAGCAGGAGCAGGAGCAGGCGCAGGCGCAGGCGATTACTAACAAAGACAGGGTCCTTAGAAGCGCTTCCAAAGCACGTGCTGGTGCTGCTGCTAGTGCTAGCAATGGGAGTCGTAGACTCAATCCCAGTGCCAAGGTGGCTGCTACTGGTGGCAGAGTGGCTGCTTCAACTCAACCGGGCATAACACGTGGCTCGGTTAAGCAAGCAGCAAAGGAAATCGCGTCCAAGCTCATGTCTCCCCCTCCTCCCTCCTCCTCGACTCGTTTCCGCATGGCTGGGATGTCTCACACAGCCGATGCAAGCACTCCAGCTTCCTGTACCGTCACTGTAACACCTCCTGTTACAGTCACCTCCCCAGACTGTCACAGCTCGCCTCCCAGTGCATCTGCCCCCGTATTACCAGCCCCAGGCGGCCAGTCAGGGATGCGGTTACCAAGTAACCTCGACCATGTGATTCTATCTCCTTCAGTCACCCCCAGGAGATCCAAGAGGAAGCTTGCTTCTGGGGCAGGGACCACTGCAGCAGCAGCGGCAGCAGAGGGCATATGTTCCTATGAGATGACTCCGGATAGGATGGATTCTGATGAAGAGGATGAGGACGAGGAGAGGGAACGACGGGCGAAGAAACCCATTCCTGCATGGGCGAGGTGAGAGTTCACCTCTTGAGTTGGGCCCTGAAGTTTAATGTGCTTGTTTCACTACGGAAACTCTTGAGTGGTATGGGCGAAGAAACCCATTCCTGCATGGGCGAGGTGAGAGTTCACCTCTTGAGTTGGGCCCTGAAGTTTAATGTGCTTGTTTCACTACGGAAACTCTTGAGTGGTATGGGCGAAGAAACCCATTCCTGCATTGGCGAGGTGAGAGTTCAACACTTCAGTCTAAATCTCCCTCTGTTGAGCAGTTTTCTCCTGGACAAACTTATGGGGTTTAGGGTTGAGTTTATCTTGTGTCACAAATTTTGCTTCTCTTCAATCTCATTGCGTCCTGTTTAGACTTGAGATGACATGACCTGTGCCCCGTTGCATGCTGTCGTTTCCAGCCTCAAACCCCCTCTTTCGCCCTCACCCTTTTTCTCCCCTGTTCCACCAACAGATCGTCCAATGTGAATGCTCAGGTGCAGAAGCAGCATGGGGTGGACCCAGATACTGTCTTCCCCAGCCGCACCCGGACTGTCAGCCTGAGAGAAGGTCAGTCTAGAGGTGCTGGGGACTGGATGAGTGCTGCTGGGATGTGCAGTATGGAATGTAATTGAATCGAATGGTGCCAACGTTTCCTACTCCCAACCTCACCTGCATTTACCTGCTTCCCCTCCAGTCTCTCCATAATCAGGCTTTTGTTGTATCCTGATGCCGTTGAATGCTGTAAGCTTTCTTCCTATTTCCTCAATGATATGCTCATCTCCTTTCCCTGTGGCACCGTATGGCTTGCCATGGCATGGTGGATTGTGTGGGCTGGCTGGGACGGTTCGCATGGTTTGGTACTGTGTGCGTCCTGCTGTTCTGCACGTCGTGCTCCTGTGCGTGGCCTGGTGCTGTGTGCCGTGTGCTGCAGTCTTTGGAACCATGAAACGGGGTGTGGACCGGCGAGGTGACACGGGTGACTGGATTCAAGACAGGCTCACATGGAGCGAGGAGATGGAGTATAAGAAGGAGATGGGGTATTTATAACAAGATGGGGTACTCAGAAGGAGATGGGGTGTTTAGGTGCATATAACGGATGAAACCATATGGAACAACAGTTTGAAATATCAAAAGTATACGGGGTATTCTGAATTTTCCTCTGGAATGGAAGGAGGGGAGTCCACAATGTTGCTGCTCTGCTCTTTTCACAATCTATTGCATGCAAATACACCCTGTTTTTTTGTTACGACGGAACTTGAATCGCACTGACAGTGACTTAGGATACATTTCACATGAAGAAGGTAAAAATCAAGTAGAATGTCACGGAAGCTCACTCACTTCCACTCCTCGATCGCAGATTCGACACCCTCGGGGGGTGCAATCCCATCTACGCTCCAAACAACAGCCCCATTCTTGAAAAGCGCAATCGCCGGCGTCTGTGCGCAATACTTTGGCCCCAAATTGGGGTATTTGTCGGCGTCCACCACGAAGAATAGGACCACGTGGCTTCTCGATTTAAAGCTCCTCGCAATGGGCTCAATAATTTGAGCCAGCCATCCGGAAACTTCGCAGTTGTTATTCAAAAAAGACACCACGATTAGTACATCCGAATAATTCAGAACGGACTCGGCGAAGTCGCTTTCTCTCAACAACGCCACACAGTCAGACTCGGCGAATGCCATCAAAATTAACTGACGATGTGTGGAATTCAATAGAAAAGGCTAGAAAAAAACCCTTCGTGTGGACGCACAGATACAGAACAGAGCAGTAATAGGGGACATGACCTCAGAGGGAAGGCCAGCACAGAAGGCTCGTTTGAATGTAAGCACTGCGGCGGTTGAGGGCGCATTCCTAATTTACGTCAGGCATCAAGCGGATCCGGACGGAGGTTCAAAAGTCCGAAGTGACCCGGTTTGTGTCTCCTTCCGAATTTCGATTTGCCACCATTCCACGGCTCACCTCCTGTCTGACCTGATTTCTACACGACGTGGGAATGCGCTCTTACAGTAGGGATGTGGCCGAGAATTGCGTCTGAATTTGCATACGTGTCGGAACTCCGTTGCAAGTTTCCCACGCTGCCCTTCAAGTTCTGCAAATGCGTCGTTTTCTATCCATCTGTGGAACCTTGAGTGCGGTGATACCAGCAGTATGTCATGCAACCTTCTGCAAACCGCTGAATATCTGGTAATCTAACCGCTTTCCACCACTTAGCAAGAGATCCGTACGTCGCGCGCCACTCCGCCACAAGCCGGAAATCCTGCTAGTGCCAAAACGCGATACGAACGCCACACGTCACCACGCCCCCAGCCGTGAAACTTGCTAGCACCAGGTCGCGAAGCGTGCGCCACACGTCACCGCGCCCCTAGCCGTGTCTCGATAGCAGCAGGTCGCATAGCGTACACCACACGACACCTTGCCCCCAGTCGCGAATTCAGCTAGCACTAGGTCGCGAAACGTAAGCTTCACGCCAACGCGCCCACGGCCACGAATCCCGCGAGCAACAGGTTAGCGCAGCGATTGCTTCACGCTACCCTGCCCACAGCAGCGATTCCACGTAGGAGCGCGTAGTGAAGTGACGGTTTCACGCCATAGCTGCGATTTACGCTAGGAGCAGGGACCCAAGTGGACGGTTGTTGCTTTCGCCCCTGACGCCACGACTCACGTTAGGAGCAGGATCTGCAGTGGACGTCTTCGCGTAGCCGAGTGTGCAGCTGGTTTTCCCTCGCTAGGAGCAGGAACTGCAGTGTGCGTTTCCTCGTTACCACGTGCACAACCAGGTTTTCCCCGCTTGGAGCAAGATTAGCAGTGTTCGGTTTCTCGCTACCCCGCCACACGGGCACACCAGGCTCTCTTGTTGCTAGGAGCTGGAACTGAAGAGCGCGGATCTAGACAGACGCTACAGGATCCACGGCATGGCCGACTTGCAGCACGAGCACACACCTACGCAGGCACCGCATGGCGAGGCGGAAGCACTTGCTGACCCAGACAGGCACTCAGGCACTAGCGCTCGGGAGTATGTAGCGCAGCCCCAAGCAAACACTCTCAAGCGGCCTTGGGTAGGCCCTACGCAGCCACTCCTCCTCGGTCTCCGGCGCCTGAGCTCGGTAGACCGACTTTGCTCGGAGGGGACACCATGCAAACGACACCGCGAGGCACCAGCCGCCCCCATGAGTACCAACGACATGCTCGGTGTACCGCCGCTCTCAGGAACTTCGCAGCGGCTTAGTAATGGGGATGCTCAGCCTCCTTTGGCTGAGGCACCACTCACGGTTGGTGAACAGCGGGAGGCGGCTGTTACCCCACGCACGCCCTCGGTAGACCAGCAAGCATCGCCCAATTGCCCACACGCATCCTCTGGGCTGGTGGATGCACAAGACACCCGAGGGGTAGATGGGCGTGGGCAGGAACCAAGTGATCCGGGGATGGACAGGGCAGTGGCGGCGTGGGAGGCGCAACGCCGGCACTTGCAGGAGCTGCATAATAGGCGGCGGCGCGAGCTTCCACTTGGTGCCACGGCAACAGAGTCGCCCGGCACTCTTGGAGCTTCAGTGGGTCCTAGCAGGGCTCCACTTGGACCGCGCTTGGCACGACGGCAGGAGCTGAGGCGTTTGTTGGTAGCTGGCACGGGCGGTCGGCAAGAGTGGGCGACGGCAGAGCAGGCGGAGTCGACAGCGGGGAGGCAGGAGGTGCAGGGGGCCCTGCTGGCGGATGAGGGCCGGGAGTGCGGGGCAGGTGGGCAGCAGGGGGTGACGGATGCAGGCCTGCCGGAAAAGGTGCTGAGGAGGCAGCCGAGCCGTCTGGCGGAGGGCCAGCTGGGCCTGCCGACAAAGGTCCAGGGGGAGTTACTCGAGGAGGAGCATTGGGAGCGTGGGGAACAGGGACGGAAACCAGGGAGGGAGCAACCGGAAACGCTGTCGGCGATGCAGCAGGGTCTGCCGGTGGCTGCAGGGGAGACTAGAGACATCAATCCCTTCCCGAAGGCACGAACGGGGGCGTCTCTAAAGGGATGGGCTGGAGCTGTGGAACATACTTTTCTCTTTCGGAGCGCGCAAGGACAAGGTGTGCAGCCCGCGAGCACGGGGCAAGAGGGCGTGCGCCGTCGTGGTCGAGGTCGCGGTCGTGGTCGTAGCGGGACTGCTCAACGAGGGCGCCTCGCAGGCCAGCATGAGCAACAGTCGGAAAGGCAGCCAAGTGAGTTGCAGGAGCAGCAGTTTGAAAGGCAACAACAGCGGAGTCAGCAGGGTGGGCTGCCTCCCCGGCAGCATGAGCAGCTGGGCGAAGGTCAGCAGGGATGGCAGCCAGGAGAGCAGCAGAAACTGTGGCTTAGGGAGCAGCAGGAACTGCAAATGAGGGAGCAGCAGGGAATGCAGCCAGGAGAGCAGCAGGAACGGCAGCCAGGGGAGCAGCAGAAACGGCAGCCAGGGGAGCAGCAGGACATGCAGATAGGGGAGGAACAGCAGGAAATCCAGATGGGGGAGCAGCAGGCACGGCAGCCAGGAGAGCAGCAGGAAATGCAGATGGGGGAGCAGTTGGAACTGCAGCCTGGGGAGCAGCAGGAGCTGCAGCCAGGGGAGCAGCAGGAAATGCAACGGGGGGAGCAGCAAGAAATGCAGCCAGGAGAGCGGCAGGAAATGCAGTCAGGAGAGCAGCAGGAGCTGCAGCCAGGGGAGCAGCAGGAAATACAACGGGGGGAGCAGTAGGAAATGCATCCAGGAGAGCAGCAGGAAATGCAGCCAGGGGAGCAGCAGGAAATGCAGCCAGGGGAGCAGCAGGAAATGCAGCCAGGGGAGCAGCAGGAAATGCAGCCAGGGGAGCAGCAG